TATATATATATATATATATATATATATATGAGGTTGAACATTCCCAAGGAAAACTCAGTAGCAACGAACAAGCAAAAAGGAGTGGTCAACAGACTAACAGCAATCAAACGAACAAACGTGTAGCAAGGCAAACGTCAAGCAGGCTGCGCGTCAACTTCGCCTCTACGCAGAACACAAGAGAAGTATCCAGTGCAGGAGTGCATTGATTGGTGTATACATTGGCGTGCATTTAACGGAAGCCAAGTATATTCATGAATCCCCATATGCATGATGTATGTGTCTTGTTTGTTCACCTGTGGCGCACTAGGGGTTGGAGGCGGTTGAAGTCTTCAGGCATATGAGGAGGGTAAAGAAAGACACCCGCCTTACGCTTCAACAGGTCTTCTGCCTTGCTCGTCCTACGCACCCACACAAATAATGGAGCACAATTCGAGGTGCTTGACCGTAAACTCTAATTCGAAAGGATCAAATCATTGCGTGTAACACACACGCAGTCTCAAAACTAAAAACCCTAGCTCAAATTGTTCAGCGGCACAAGATGACAGTGAGAGCGACGAAAGAAAGCGTGAATATATTATTACGTTATGGGAGCTGCATGCATATTCATTTTCCCTGCAAATTTACTACTTGTACATATGCTGAACAGAAACTTGTCAGTGCGCAAATACGCGATGCACGCATGAATTTTCACCTTTCATATGCAAATAGAAATCTAACTCCCTTCTGCGTATTGTCTACACAGCTGCACTCTCATATGCTCATGCATGAACATACATATCCGCGAACTAGCATGCGAATACACCAGAATGCGAAGACACAAACATCTGAGCAGGTATATGTAAGCATGCAAGTAGACAGCAACCGTCAAAAGAGCATGCAAATGCGCATATAAACACACACAGAACCAATAAACAGCGCAAGACAAACAATGCAGGCGTAACCCTGCTGTTGCAATTCAAGCATCTAAATATAGCTGGTACACGTGAACCCGAATCAACACGTGCTCTCCGCGGAGCAAAGCAACCAAAGGTGTGTTTGCATGAAACAATAATCAGGCGTTTCATTCAATGAAACGTGGAGTTTATTGGAGCATGCACCTGAACTAAACGTATTTAAATGGAACAATAATGACGCAGGTATTCGTATGAAAAGTGCGCTCGAGTCAAGCATGGGTTCATCCGAATATGTGCTTGCAAATTCAGGTCAAGTGAAGCATCTGAGAGAAGCAGCAATCCACCATGACTCAAATGACGAAACACAGTTTCATGAAACATTAGTAAAACGCGATGTCTTACGAAGGGAGGTTTTAAATGCGCTAACCTGCAGATGTGCAAGGTGACTTTGTGGCTGAAGTAGCAGGTGCAGAGTGCCGTGTTGCCATGCACAAGGTCTACGCGAGCCAGCGCTCCAATTAAAATTGTCTTTCCTTCTGTTAAAGCGAATGTCAGGGGCTGAATTCGTTTGGTAGGCACGACTGACAGCAGATCACCTCCGTGGAGCAACACGCTGGCCATCTGCGAGAAGAGAACGCACCAGCCATAAACTATATAGCAAAGTACCCTAAAGTACGGCTTTCAGAGCAGCAGCCCCCCTTTTAGATATATCATGATCCTATACCCTAGATACCAGACCCTAAACGCTAAACCACGTATCCTAAAGCTTGTAACAGGGCTTATTCTTGCCTGATGCTGGGAAGGAATGCCTGGGGTGTCTATGAGCTTGAAACCTTTCGGCAAACCGAACGGAATCAGATCTAAAGTGGTGCCTGGAAGAGGAGAACGCGTGGCGCCGCCGACAGCACGTTTCATGAACAGAGTTCCAAAGTGTCTGCGAGTAACCACGCATCCACAGACGCCCAAAATAATGCAATTTGGCACAGTAGGCGCAGAGCACTTCCATGATGGTCACAGAGACGTAACACCCGTGAGCGCTACTTTCCACCAAGGCAAGACGGGTGCCTCCAGCGAAAAGGAGAGGGAGGACGGATGCCTCTCTTTACGGAAGAACAGTCCCTCCTACAGTAACACATAAATAGGTATACTGAGTATACGATATGCATCATGAATATGAAATAAACGGCTGGCTCCGGCACCAGACAAACCACTCCATAAAGACTCACTCGATCAATGAGGCAGACTCAAACAAAAATGCATGCAGCAATTATCAGCCATCAAGGCCAAGCTTGCGAATGTGAATTAATCAGCAGCACTCACAACAGCAGCAAAGGCACAGCCACCAATAAACGCCCCGTCAACAAGCTAAGAGCAAAATGGCCAAAAGTTGCACTAAGCAACAAGCGAAACTAGAACAATACTGGCTAGTGCAGCAGCAGCAGCAGCAACGACACCAGTAACGACAGAGCCTACAACAACAGCACCATCAGCAACAGAAGCAGGAACAGCACCACACTAGCAGCGGGGCCACGAGCAGCGGGAACAAAAGTAAGAGCAACACGAAAGCGGTCACGAGCAGGACCAGCAAAACGGCGAAGAGCACGAGCAAGGAGAGCACCACGAGCAACCGCAGTAGAAGCACGAGCAGCAGAAAATGTAGTTCTAACTTATAGCCGACGAATTTGAGGAAACGGTTAACAAAAGTAGATTTGCCCGCGTTGACCCGCCCCACAACAAACATAAATCGCCCTTCTATGTCCTGAAGTTGGTTGCTTCCCCTGGGGTTTGTTGCTGCCTCTGATTTTGAATCAGAGGCACTGTACGAGTCTTCTGACAGCAGCTCGCCGATGCGCCGTTCGAGGTTATCGAAGCCGTAGCCTGCATATGCATAAGACGCGGCACAAGAGGGACAGAAGGCAGCATTGCTGTCTTTAGGAGTAGACAGTATAGGACAAAGCTGTTACAAACGAGTAGGCGGGGGTTGAAAGGAGAAAGGAGACAGACGACAACATCTGGAAAGAAAGGAGAAAGCAAGAAGAGAGTACATAACAGGGGAAGAGGCAAGCAAGAGAAAGAAACAAAAGACAACTGAAGGACAGCGTGTGCATTCTGTTCCTGAGTAGCAAAAGAGGAGCAGAGAAGAGCAGCAGCATATAGGCAAAACAATGAAAAAGCAGGGAAACCACACATGGAGACAAAAAAGTAGTTGCAGCAGAGAGTTGACCGCACGGCGCAAGAAGAGCGCCAAACGCGCCATGGGCACATTTTAAGTAACATATTACTGACACTGAATTTACAAACTGCCGCTTCGGTCATAACCACATTGTTGTAAACACCCCGCCCCTCCTACTGCTTATTGTCGCTACTTCAACCCCGATATAAAACAGGGATCACCTGTAGCAGAGGAGACGAGGACGCAGTCATCGATGTGCACGTTGCGGATTTGCCGCACCATTCGCCGTACCCACTGTTTAACTCTGAGGGCAGAAAGAACCCATGAGGTGTACGTCCACGTCACTACTCTACTTGCTTAATATCCATTGCTGCATGACTTGTTTTGCCTACGCGCCTCTGCTGCAGCTTGCATGCACTTCCTAGTGCATGCGCATGCACATACTTGCAGGCAGCAGTACGTGGGGGGCTGTGCAGAGTCTTCATGAAATGCGCATGAAAGGTATGTGCTTCAGGTGTGCAAGTGCACGTACACTTGAACCCCTATCTTCGGTGTGCATTTCCCGCCAGTTCTTCGTGTTTAATCAAGAGAAACTGCATGAACGGCCCTCACCTGCAAAGGTCCGTGCGGTTTCTAAGTGTATGGTGTGTGTTTTGTTGGAGTGCATGTTAGCGTTGTGCCGTCCGTGTCATATACGCTGTTGCAGCGTATATGCAGCTACTGAGTGGTGCGTCGTGTCACAAGGAAATCATCTCACTGATTCATATCGGTGTGTTTAGGAAGGCAGTCGACGCGGTTCACAACCCATATTGCCTTGAGGCCCTTTTCTCTGCAGGCCGCGAAGAGCTCAGGGACTACAGAAAGTTCGAGGTCAAATATGTCCACGATTTTCAAAACAATTGAGTTGTTCGGCATTATTCTTGTCAGCTGCGTTATCACTGAAGAGGGAGACAAAGCAGGCAAACAGCCAGCTGCTGCAACTGCTGAGCGCTCCCAAGAGCTGTCGATGCTGCGGTAGTGCTGAACAAACACCGCAACCCACCCAGCAGCAACTGCACCAAACGCATATATGCACTTGCCGCTTGATGCTGGCTCACTTGCACACGCGGACGCCAACGTCCCAACATTATCAGCAAGACGACGGCGGCGGCTGCCGCAGCGGCATCAGCTGAATCACAACAGCAAGAAGTGCTGCATCTGCTTCTCAGGCAGAAGCAAACACGTGTGCTATTGGGCACGGCAAGCGGTAAATGATTAAAATGCAGAAAACGGAAAGACGACAAAGGCCTACGGTATCCTCTCAAGAGCATGTTAGTGGACAAATTCTCGCCAACACACGAGAGCCACAGTACCTGCATGCGGTAGCAGCGTTGACAGGTGAGGAGGCTCGTGCGTACGCGGAACTTGGGAGATGTTTGCTGCACGTACACAGCAGACATTTGTAGTGTATATGCAGCACCCTTATTTTGCCACTCCACTCCTCCCACGACTGGCAAGTTCACTCTATCCTCCTTAAGCAGGCAGAGAAGAGCCGTGCTTTCGCGTGTCTGTGCACACAGCTGGGTCTCCAGAGACGATGAAGTGATACTGCAGCAGAAGCAGTCTAATGGACATCACAATCAAGTTTCGACCTGAATGCATCATGCTTCTGTGCAAAAGAAAACAAGTCAAGCTCTTTTCAGATCCCAACTCCGCATTACCTGCAACACCTCCACCCCGTCGGGGACCGACTCCACAACCTGTCCTCGCGGTCGCGGCAGCCGTTTCACTCTGCCCCCTGACACGCACACGCCCTAAAGCCTCAACAATAGCCCGTGCTGGCCATCCCTACAGCGGCAACCAGTGCGCTTCCTATGTTCCGCATGCATGCATGCTTAAAGTTTCCCGAACACTCCATATAGGCCCAGGGTTTACGGTGAAGAGTTGGGGTTTGCCACAGTGGACAAGCAGTTCAAGAGGGATACGAGTCTTATATCTAGAAGACGTGTAGAGCTGGCTATACAGCCACGAGTAACCACCCCTTCCCCCATAAAGAAGTTACAAGCCTTCATACGAAGGGAACATGAGAGAAATGCAAAAGACAACAGCGACTGTACAATGCCACATGTCTCAGATAAATGGCGAATCCCGCAACAACACCACTACCATTGGGGACCCTACAGAAGTACCGTACTCCCGGGGTCCCAACGCTGGGTCGCCAGAGATGCAATACGGAGCTGGTCTAGCTACACTCATGTTCGTATGGTCCTGCGGTGCACTTCACCTGCTGTTGTGCGCACCTGAGTACTCTTCGTATTTGTGTTTGGGTACAAAACCCACGGCAGATTCTTCTTGTGTTTGCAGCGGCGCCCCACAGCCTGAACAGCGGGTGGGTTGCATGCGGTCTATCTGCAGCAACAAATGCACGAAGTGTTCGCATTGAATACATCCATATTTAAGCTGGGGTTTCAACGCCCGAGAAGGAAGTGCGTTTTAGCTTTGTGCATGCAATTCAATAATCTAGGAGTATCGACGCCACACACCCAACAGATGAGGCCTCATGTTGTGGAAATACAAGCTTCATACGGAATATGTATACGACACAGACAATACACGATGCAACACTGTACGTTCTATTCACATGAGGCGTAAAACATCTTGCGTATACTTGTACAGGAATCCAACGCTCTACATAGCAGTATCGCATGCGGCGAGTTCATTAGCGACCAGTTTCTTGCCCGTAAGTGCACCTCAAATGGCTTACCCAAAACAAATCGGTGGTTATACCTTGCAGGCCTCCACCTTGTTCTCTTCCTTCCGGCCCACCTGACAGTCCCCCGTCACTGTGAGGAGATCCAGATGAACAAAACAACCTCCTGAAGTATCCACTTAATCCCGGAACGGCTTCCACATATATGGGCCTCCTATCATGCGTAAATAGCATCTTAAACGTGGCAAGGCCACACACAGTAGTCCCTAGGGGTCCCTGCGTGTGACGATCTACAGGGGCCACTATGGGGCCGCTGCAGGGCTCCTCAGCACGGCATAGGCAGCCCCTTGGATGGGCCCCAAGTGGACACTGTTTGAAGTCATTGTAGAAGTCTATAACCTGCAGCCTTTGAGAAACTCTAAAGGGCGCCACTCGTCCAGCTTCCCCTGGGCCCCTGCAAGGACCCCCTAACCCTGTGTCCTGTGGACGACTCCGGCGGCCCCCAATATGGCACCAGTCTAGGGGCTTCTCAAACGCCCTATATGGGACCCTTGTAAAACCCTTGGGTACTGGAAGCCTCGGGATTTCTGTGTTCCTTTTGCTCCTGTTGCCGAAGATGTGATGGTTTCCTTTGAAGGCTCTTAACAAGTGCAAGTTGGGCGGGTATGCCATGGAAATCATCACGATTGGATCTAATACACGGTTTGTATTAGCATAGAAGCTGAGAAAATCAGTTTTTAAATCAACTAAAAGGGCGGTTGAACGAGGCACGAACACGCTGCCGAAGTCGATTTAACGCCTAGGAACACCGTGCCAACCCAGCAGAAAACTAAGGCAAAGTCCTCTCTTTAAAAACCAATGTGTACGACTGAACATTATTAGATGCAGTTAGTTGCCTACCTACCGCTGTTGGGCGGGAAGTTGAACTCTCGAACTTAACACCTAACCTCCCGGGACCCGATGGACAGGGCACAGGAATGCAACTTTCCAGGGGTGGACACGCGAAAATGTGTTGACTGATATTTTTGGTGCAAATAGAATAGTCTACAACTATCGTGTTTAATTTAAATTCCTCTCCCCCTTTTGTGGAGCGTTTAAGGCATGGTTTCTTTATCGTAGCATACCGGCAGAACGCGGCCTCAGTGGTTGCTCTCTAGTGTGCTAATATCCTCTGCAGGGAGAAGAAAGCAATAAAGTTTTATTTCTTTGCAGTCAATACTAACCTGCGGATTTTTGTTGAAAACTCAATTTCCAGGACGGCTGTTAATGTAGCAATATGAAACATGCGGTGAACCCCCTCCTATGTCGTTGATAGGAAACATTTTTACTTATTCAAAACTTGTTCACCAGGACAAACAAAATCTCAAGGGAATGGATGGTAGTTGTCTTGGGCTCTATCTCACCCTACTTCCGGGGTTCGCCAACCTTCGTGATCGGTCTCTTTTTTACTTCTTTTTGGAGTGATGTTACAGCGTTTTATGGCATTTTTGCCTTTCTTGCAAGCATACTGCCTCCAAGTGAATAGCCGTACACGCAGGAAGGCCGTCGTCGTGGACCCCCGGATGTGTTTAGCTAAACTGTGTATCATGATTTGTTAGGGAAGCCCATCCTAAACCCAGGCAATCCAGCAATAATACGACAACCTCTTCAGATGTTTGTTGCCTACCCCTGTCACTGGCCCTATCTTTGTGTGGTTCTGAAAATTTTTTGGGGTGTATCGCCAAGGAGACCCGGTGAAATCGTCAAAAAGTGAAATAAATCCCAAATCCCAAAGTCTCTGAGCCTCTAGTGAGTGTTAGGCAAAAAAAAGCGAGTTCCTTGCCCCACATTTTACGGAATGAACTCATTCCGCTTGTCATTTTTGAAGGAAATCGAGGGCAACGCACAAGGTAAGGCGTCTGTGGAAATGCTTGTGCAAATAAAGTGAGTAGAAACAATCATCTGTGACAAGGCAGAGGCGCTCGCGCACACATCAAGACTGACCAAACAACGTCCTAGAAGCACCAGTTATTACTTCTCTTCGTCATAAACGGGAGTACTTCTTGTAAAAAGAGAACAGCAAAGGAAACGGACGTTCAACGGCAAACTTCAGCAGCGGAAGGGGGCAGGGAGAAATGGAAGGGTTGGGGTTGGGTGAAGAACGCTTCAGTGTAGCTCTTGCCACAGAGCAAGGAGCCTTTCTTTGGCAATGGGATGAATGGCCATCCACTTTCTAAGGTCGGAAATGTCGCTGAAGTTCCTGAAAAATACATCAATAATAGCACCTGGAGCGGAGGACTGTGGCTGCACGCCTAAAGCTTGCAAACAGGTGCCCACGAAGCAATCCTCGTTGCTCAAAACCGGCAACCATTTCGCTACTGCTGCGATTTTTGCCACTAAATCGCCAGAAATGATGTACAGAGGGCCCGAGAGATAAGGCGGATACTTTGGTTGACTGTACACAGCCGGGTCTTCATAGTTTCGGTGCGTCCGCTCGCGTACGACTGCAACATTTGTGCGGAGCACCCCCGCAGCTACATCTGGCTCATCTTGGTGGGCATTCAAGTAGTCCACCAGCTTATTCACGTCTAGAAACACATCTGCGTCCGCCTTGATGAGAAACTTTGCCTCCGGGCAGGCGTTTGCGATCCAGCGGAAAGCAGTTATTGTCTTGTACGTCAAATTCCGGTATTTGTCGGGAGCTGAATGCTGCAGGATGTCTCCGTACATTGCTGCCTCTTTTACTACAGTCTCCTGCACTTCCTCTGAAGCCTGGGTCCCCAACAGAAAGAATACCCGCAACCGCCTCTTCCCTACACGGCTTACACCCCCCCAAGTGCTCCGCACCACAGCCCGCGCCTCAGCATCTGCTGCCCCTGTCATCGTCACCAGCGCTGCAAAGGGAGGGTCGTCAGCGCAGCTGACTTTGGGAGTAATTAACAGCCGCCAGTCTGTCTGCACGGGGAGAGAGAGAAGCGACAGCTGCCCCTCCCCTGGCCACTTCCACCCGTGTGCCTTTGACAGAAAAATGTATATCCAAACTAACCCAAGAAACACCAACCAGCCCACGTGATATACCGACATGTCCCTCCAACTCCAATTGTCATTAGCAGGTTTCTCCTTATCCATGGACTGCGCAGACAACACAAGTGACCCCAGCAGCCAAGATACAGGAATCACGTAAGATTTGCTCGAGTAAACAGAGGTTTGGGGCCTGGGGTGCCGACGAATCTTCAAGCCTTGTACATGGTGCATGTGGTGCAGGGATTAGCTTCATCAGCTTCTACTCAATAGACAGAAAGCGCAACGAGGGTATCTATGGTAACACAATACAGACTCTAACTTGAATGGCAGGGCGGAGCTGATATCACTTGTGTTCACTATGCGAAGAAAAGCGAATCGGCGCAAAAGTGCTCCAGAAAAGCTAGCGATGATGCATGCCACCCAGGAATTGCACAAAACTGAGACCATCATGAACAGCCCCCAATAGCAGAAGGCACTGGGGAGCCCGCCGTAGAGCTGGAGACTTCTGCTTACTATCTTGGGAAGGGATTGCCTCTTGGGAGACAAAATCCTGACGCACATACTGGGGGATGACGGGCACTCATCGGTTTTCTCTTTGACCGTGGGCGTTTTCCCCGTATCTCCGTTATCGTTTTTCATTGTGGACTGGTGCGCGACTGCAGCTTGTTTGCAAGCGTTTCCGCAGTTTGTGGCCCCTATGGCAGTCTCTCCTTCAAGGAAGAAACATGACTTCGACATCCTTGTGTGCAAGTCCACTGCGGTTTGCCACTCACGAAACACTCCTGGCGCACTTGTCTTGTAGCAACTACAATGGTTCCTGCAGCCTACGTGGTAAACAAGGAGGCCCATCAGCAGGCAGCTTGATATAAATATATCTATGAGTTTCAGTCCATATCAGCAAAGGAAGGATCATTGCGGGGGTTTGCGAGGGTGAGTCCCACGAACCCGCGGTATGTCAGCAAGCTGCTCCCGGAAGTTCCGCACGGGAGCCAGTATTTAGTGCAGAAACTATCATAAGAAAAAATGGTGGTTTCCATGTACAGCTGCGACAAAGTTGAGCGAGACGTGGACGAAATATTCGAATTCCTACAACCTCTACAAAACCTGCCAGTTCGCAGGTGCTCTGGGCGGGAGGTGGACCGACACCCGCTAGGCGAAAGTGTACTAGTCAGAAGTGCACATCTTTATAAAAACTTAGGGTAAATTATCTTTCCCCAGCTACCGGGCGAAAGAGAATGAATTTCACCTTCAACATATCTAGTCCCCCATTTACCCTGTGCTGGCGCATGCATCGATGGTAGCTGACCATGTTTAGCGCTTGGGAAAGGAACTTCTAGACACATTAATCTCTTTAGCTTCCGTTAAGCTCCATGTAAATCGTCAGTCTACCACCGCCAAAACCAAATCAAATGAATGACAGTTTCAAACCCTGGCTCGTGGTGACTTACCCGCCTCGCTGTAGCCGCGTTCTTTCCAGTGGCAAGTAGAGAGTTATGGACAAAACTGCCATTTTCAATTTGCTTATTAAAAAGATTATAAATGAAGGTCAAACATCGCCACCTGCATCCACGGGAGCCTATAGAATGGCCCTGATTTTTAAAGAGTTTAGCAATAGTCCTCGATCATATCCAAGGACTCTCGCGAGATGCACTAGAGCCCAAGTACTCACAATACCAGTTACTTAATAACATTTTGCCTCCATCCTCACAGTGACCCAAGAGCCGGGTGCTTCTGGAAGGGTGGCGGCCTGCCACGAGTTGCAACGCACACCCATTCACCCAGTGGGGGAAGAGAGGCCCCGGATGCACGCACAGAAAAGCCTTTTTTACTGCATGCACTAACGCAGTACGGATTCGATGGTACGTTATACCCAAAATATGAAAAGCAATAGTTGTTGGCAGCTACGTTGATCTCGCTGTATGCGGAGGATGGAAGCTATATCACAGCAAAAAGTTACTTGGCCTCCCAAGGCAGATATATTTGGGAAACGTGATTTATGAGAGGAGAGCGGATATCGGATGACTTAGCACAGCCAAATTTAAGCTTCTCTGACAATTCCCATGCTTGAAATAGGTGGCTACGGGTCAAGGAGTACCTGCAAATGTTCAGCAGAAGTCGCGTCGCGCAGTTGTTCTTCATAACCAATCTGGGGAGCCGGCGCCCCGGCCATTCACCGTAATATTCTCGGCTCCCGTAGTCTGTACGAAATTTTTAACGAGTGCGTAGGATTTCAGATTCCTCCTGTTACTGCTTTTCACAACGATATTCCGGGCATTTTCCGGGAAGGAATCGGGTTATTCTGAGTGTCGATTTCGGAAAAAACAAGGGAGGCGCGGTCTCCTTTCCACGATGACGGCAAGCAAGCCTCGCGAAATCCAATAGTGCTACAGTTGTCAAACGAAGAATTTCTCCCATTCAGCTAACATTCTCCTCAAATCTGGAGGCGTCCTGCACACAACGGCACAAGGGCCTCGTGCTAGTGCGGCACGTAAGCAGCCCATCATCCGCTGCAACGTGCCAAGCTGCAGCTCCTGATTGAAGGTTTCCCCATATACAAATGTACACGTAGCTGCATCTGCGCCCCGTTCCCACCCTTTCCGATCGAAGAGCGCACCCTCTCGAGCTCGGTTGCCCAGCAGCAAATGCGTAAAGCGGCGCCAAGCCCCATGCTGAAGTTGGTCCAGAGCCTTTTCTTTCTTAAGCTATATTTATTCCACCTGTTGCGGTTCTTTTAGCTGTGCAGTAAGAACCGCAGAAGGTTTATGGTTTAAGTATGTCTTTGATGAATGCCAACCCGTTGGCCCAATAACGAACAGCAAACAGCTCTACACATGCATGGAGGAATTACTCCATTGGTCTTAAAGTATACTAGGGCCCAGAAAACCTCGGGTTACAAGTATGGTAGGAAAATCACCCTAAACTACTACGATACAATTGAACAATATAAGGAAGTCCGCACGTACAGGCAAGCTTCCACCAACGCAGGTCTAACCTCGGCAGAATTAATGAACATTGTTGTAGACAAGAAAAGCCAGGATAATTGGGGTGATAACTGTATTTGAGCATTGTATGCCAATTCCGCTGGGGATAAATCGAAGCACGTTGATGGACCTTACAAGATGTAGAATCGGGTACGCTGCACAAGCGTGCAGTTGATGAGCAGTTGACCGCCTGCCACCGGCTGCTCTGCTACAATCGCGGTGCTGGAGATACATATCCTCGTGAGGAAAGCGCTCCAGAAGGCACCGACAAACTTTGGCTTCGTAGCATCACTGATGTACTTCGAAAAAACAGCAGAGCTGTAGTACATGACTAGTGAGTAATTTAGCCATGCACTTAACTGTACCCGAACGGGCGATGCAGGTCATCCTATATGATGCTCTCATCAATGCTGAGGTCATCCAAAGCAACGTAAATACTATTGCCGGTTGTAACTAATGGTAAGCCAATACGGTGTCCAGTAAGTCTTTCACCCGCACAGGCTCATACATCGGAAGAGACAGCAAAAGTCCGCTTTCAACAGTGTTCTTCTTCTTTAGCTACTGAGGTTCGTGAGAAGTCTGTTTCCGTGTTCTACCGGTTGGGTTGTCGTTTACAATCTCAGTATTCACAGGCACAAAACCTTGGTCGTGTCTAAACCCATTCTCTGTTATCTCACCTAGCGCGGTGGAAGTGACATTCCCGCTGTATTTGACGACAAACTACTTCACGTCGGCGCGATGATGGATCACCCTGTAATTTCTGCCTCCTCTTTCTGGCAGGAGGAACCTCTCAGTAGTTGAAGCACACTTGCTTGGAATCCTTGTTGCAAGGCAACCGCGAACGCAAGCACTCCCCAGACACCCATAGGTGAATTCACTGACCCTCTGGATAACATTTTCCTTGCCATCAATAGCCAGGCTACGCAGACCCTGCCACAGGCAGCCGTGGCATTCGAGCAGTGCGCTAGGCTACAGAACGAAAGAGTGAAAATTAGATAAGTCTAGAGTGTTATGGTCTAGGGCTAACGTCTACTGGAATACTCAAGAATTTAAAACAATAATAGAGAAAGAAGTGGACGACAGCAAAGGCATTTGAGCAACAGCAGGTTGTGCGTGGTAGAGCGACTAGAAAGGCTACAGCCTGTGTGTTTCAGTAGGACCCATGACGGTGAATATCCCATCCTCTAATCACCCCAACTATGCCGTAAGATAACGGCATAAAAGATTTGTTACTGATATTCATATAAGTGAAAAAAAAATTTAGTTGTTCCCTATGGGGAATGCCAAGTTCAAGTGGCGCACAACTCGCAGAAATGGGAGAGAGGCGAGGCCGTCAGTAACAGTTGCCTGGAATCTAGTTGGCTTGGGCCCTAGTCGGCAAGTACGCTGCAAAGTACGCAGATGAAAATAATTTAAAGAAGCGTTTTGGTTGCATTATACGATTTAACTGTCAGCTTCCAGGGGCTGTACGAAGGGCGAGACTGCCCGACGTAGACTCGCCCAAGTGGCACGGTCTGACCACCGGGAACCAGCGCCCGTTTCAGGACATCACCGGCCTAAACCTCCTCTCTTATTTACAGTTCTGGACTGCTTTTGTACTTAAATGCATGTTTTGTCTTAAGGGTGGCCGTGTAGTTGCGCTTGCCTCTGGTTGTATTGCGCTGCAAAGCAGCAGAGTTTAGACAACTTGCAGCACAGTTCAGACCACGTGTTGGCGTAGACCCCACGGAAGGGTTTTTATCGCTTATTTCTCCCGAATGAAGAAGACTTCCGAATGAACTACTCCTTATTTTCCTCTATGGGTCACGAGTTCGACTGTCGATCTCCAAGACTGCGTTGCAACTGTAGCTGGAAACTGTCCCCAGTGACTGAGAGAATTGTGTTGGATACAGCAAATGAAGAAATGCGCTTAAAGAAGGTGAAATCTCAGTTTGAGTGAAAGGTTGACTGCAAGGGCCTCACAGACTGCCCCAAAATATCGGAGGCCTTCGGCACGTCCTCTTTAGTTCGTAGACTGCTCTGCTGTCTTCCAGTTCTCGGCTGAAACTGCCACACACGAAGCTCCAAAGCTTGATATCATTGACCGGGGGGCCCTTCTTGCTGCCAGTCGTATTTAGACATGGCGAGAGTCGGTTTCCACATGCCACCTCCCTTGGAAAGCAGCACCCAAACTATGGAAGACGGCAACGAGTTGGAGAAAAATGGAACTCGCAGCGGATCACCCAGTGAGGTTTATTTACCGATTTCTGTTTCTCAGGATCTGCCCAAACCCCGAATTGTGCGTAGGCTTGATGGCAGCATTTGGCCTCCTCCAACACTCCTGGGCACTAGTGTTTCTGGGTCCAGCTGTGCAAAGTACACCGTACTACTCCTTAATCCCTAGTTGTACCTATGCTGCATGCTGTACGATATTTTAGTAATTAGAAGACCGTGAGAGTTCGGGAGTACCGATGTGGTGCAGCTTGTGTTTTGTGTGGCCCTTAATGGAGCCTGTATTTTCACCTGTTGAGTACGCCGACTGTACCTTCCTACATTCTGATTTTTTGTGCTTGGCGTGTTGATACAGGATGGCATGGTGCCGCAGCTTCCAATGAAACTGACCCCCTCGTGGAAGACGATATGCAAGAACTGCTTGTATTCTCTGTTGTTTGCGTCTGCATTATTTCTCTACATTGTCATATCTAAAACTTGCTCGTGGAATTGGCATGGGGAACCTCAGGTACCCATGCTGTCGTTGCCCCTTCAGACGAACTGGCGTCTGCTGATTGCCCCCAAGGTAAGTTGTGCCGAAGATCCCCCTTTTGCCGCTCTGATGGCGATGACAGGGGCTGCCGACTCTGAGGGGCGGAAGATTGTGAGGAACACGTGGGGAGGGATCAGCGAAATAGCCAACAGGCGGATCCGTTTATTCTTCTTGTTGGGCACCGTTGGATCTGAGGAGGTGCAGAAGGCAGTTGAGGATGAGGCAGAGACATACGGGGACATTCTGCAACATACGGCCCCTGACAAATACACTACTCTTGCAGCGAAGGCAGCAACCATGATCCAGTGGGTGGCGGCATCTTGCCCTGAGGCCAAGTTTGTAGTTAAGGCGGACACAGATACTTTAGTGAACTTGGACGTGATGATTCCCTACTTGATAAAAATGGAAGTCAAGGGGGATCTTGCCTTAGGGTTTCGGCTAGACCATATGCCTACCATTAATTCTCGGAATTCACGAAACTACCAGGACCCTTTAGTATTTCCGAGAAAGACATTTCCACCTTATCTTTCAGGCGCCTGCTATATTATCTCGGGAAGTTTGCTTCAGAAAGTGGTGCATGTCCTGCCGGATGTGCCACGTGTCAGGAATGAAGATACATTCGTAGGAATGTGTTTAGAACGCCTTGGAATTGAGCCTACCAACATTGGACCAGAGGCGCCAATCAACCCATGGTTTGACCCGGCTAAGGGACCCTGTGCTGCTTTTCGGCTAGCTGCAGCTCATCCCATTAGGCGTGACCTCCTGGCTGCCATTTGGAAGTGGTGGAAAACCGGAGGAGCCGATATGTGTCACTGATTTAGGATACTGTGCTCCTCTGTGACGCTCCAGAGAGTGTAATTAATTCGTTCGGATATGGATTAAACATGCTTTCGGCACTAAAATACCCAAGTGCGAAATTCCTCCCCCGTGCACTTGTGGAGTTTTGTACAGTTGAAATTGCTTTGTCCTGTCTGTGCTCTGTTTGAAGCAGAAGCGGCTATGAGCAACTGAGTAAATTCACGTACAGTTGGCAATGCAGTTCCCGTTATTAACGCTTATTTGTTGGCAAGTTCTGGCCCTCGATGCCTAGTGGTATATTTGAAAGACATGTCATCAGCCGTGTTCTCAGAAGGCTAGCAAGGTTCGGCATGAGGGAACTAGCTACATGCTAGTGCAACAAGATTTTTCATGTTTTTGTTATCTCCTGGTCATTGTTAGATGTGGAAGATCTCCACATAGTAGGAATGTTACTTCGGTTAGGGCATGAGTCACGCAGATGGGAGAAGCTCGATCTGATTGTCCTTTCTAGAGCACCAGGTTCTTGTAGGCAAACAGAACACCTGTTGCCCCCACAAGCCAGTAGCATAGCCCATAGATTCTAAAGGCTGTATAATCCACAGTGACAACCAGTTTGGTTCTGGTCGGTTCGACGGCGTTACATGCCCAGGCAGTCCTGGGGGGAATGGGGAGTGTAGGCATGCAAAGCCTCACAGAGACGCATCAAAGAAGGAATGCATGACAAGTACCACTTGAGATTTATGGTGCATATTTCGAGTTTGTTGGCTACGCTGAACCTTGGCCAATCGCTGCCGCCAAGTTTGGCGGATCGTGGGATTCTGGCGGTGGTTTGCAGCGCTACTCTGACAAAACAATGCGGAAAAATCCAAAGAATCACATGGGAGGCATATTTCGCATTGAATTTCCCCTAAAGCGTGTGACTTTGTGCGAATTTGCGTAAGTTTCAACACTACAGGGCACAGTGCCACTCGTGCGGCAATCGATTCGGCAGTGCCAGCCACGGTAAGCTGAGCTAAGTTGACCGGGAAAACAAAGCAGAATAATCCATCAAAGAACATATCTTTTAGTTTTGAGTAAACTATACACAGTTGCTGTGGATTTATTGCAGGGGTTGTCTACTCCAAGTGCCGTGGTCTGGGGGCTGACGACAACTGGTTCCGGTGTTACAGCTAGCGTGAGGAGATTGGGCCGTCACGGCCTGAGGGCTAACCCCGCTTTGTAAAGCTCTCCTCTCAACTAAACCGCGATAATGACTCCAAATGTGTGTTAATTTTTCACGGTTTGTTCTTCCTCGTGGAAACTGGCCCCCGTTTGATAAGCCCGCTGCCGCCGCAAAATTCGCAAGAGACCACAGCGGCCGGTAGTTTTCAGCGACGGGCTGGCACCAGTTTCCTTCCCTAATTCCCCGACATCTGGTTTTTTTCATTTCCCTATAAGTATTCAGGGCTTGCTTTACCTCCTGGGCCCACTGCGAAGCTAACAACAACAGCAGCAATTGAGCCTCGCCGAAAGCATCCGCTCAACAGCAACAGTGGCAGGAATCCTTCAACAAGCCGGGTGAAGCATCCGTTGTTTACAAGCGCCTGTTCATCTTTTCCCCCAAAAGGTACAAATTCAAGAGAAAGGGAATATCTAGTGACGTAATAAAGCGCCTGCAGATGGGGCGTGTCCGACAGCAACGTATTGGCCCCGTCCTGCAGATGCTGAAGCATGGGACTAACCGACTTCAGACCACATTTTGTGGTAGCAAAGTCACGATTATGCCAAACACTAGACAGATTTACATCTACTCCTCGGCAGCTTCGAGGATCTGCTTCATGGCTGCATGTGCACACTGGTCTGCAGCTTCCAGCCTCCATCGGTAGGCACTAATTGCCCGTTGCTAGTTCCCACATATATTTCCAGACTCCAATTTTGTGCCGTTTTTCAGGTAATATGAAGCAGAACCAATCGGGCCCCGGCTCGCCCGTGAGCGGGTCGCAGCCCAGCTCCGGCCCAAACACGGTGCGTTCTGTGATCCCTGAGGCAACGTACTCTTTGAATGCAGCAGGAAAAGTACCGGAGACTCGTCCTGCTCGTCTAATTCTACGGCCTTATGACGTCAGCACTACAGGTTACACAACCATGGCCCCTATGCAGCCCTCTCTGTCAGAAGGTCTGCAATTCTACAGCGACCAAATGGCTCCTCCCCCTCCTCTTAAGCAGCAGCCACAGCCTTTTTACCAGACGTCGCTCGATGAACCCCCACTAAAAGGGAAAGGTGCCTATTCTCAACCAACCAAGCCCCTCATTAGCACGTTGCCCGCACTGCAGGAGCCACCCCAGCATATGCCAATGGGCGTCGGGCGTGCCACAATGCCCGTAAGTGCATACGACTTACCCCCACCTCTGCTTGAAAACAAGTCACAGAAGGAACAAGCTTTTCTACGGGTCTGGAACGGAATAGACCATGCAGGAGCTGTTGCCACCTCTCGACTAGAGCGGGTTCCACTACCCATGCTGGAGCGCATTCCTGGTGGCCCCGGCCGCCTACGTCTTCAGGGGCCCCTGGTGAACATCAAGTTGCCCGAGGTGCCCTCTGTAGAAGGAGACCTCCGTCGCTTCTGTCAGCGGATTTTGACGGCTTTCAGTGGGGCTGCTGAGGACTGTCGCCGGCTCTTCGTCCCGTGCACTCAGTTGCGCCTCCCTAGGTTTGATTCCTGCGCTCCCCAAACTCCAGCGCTCCAGGAATGTAAAAGCTGCGGTTACAAAGGCCACTTCTGCCCTGAATGTGGCACAGGAACGAACGGCCGCAGCATGGCTGCCGATGCGGCTCCGTTTGCTCGTGTGCAGCCATCAAGAGGCGTACTGGGTGAGTGTGTCACGCCTGTTGCTGGCTGATTACAGAGTATAAGAAAACTGCAACTTTCCTCCACGGGTTCGTTTATCTGCTCTGGTTAAGAAGCCCTAGCAGGGAATAAGTTACGTTCTGCCTATCCTGTCTCTGCATCTTCGTACAGGCAAGTCTTCAAAATTAAGTTGGCATGCGTATTAACAGTGTGCTCCTCTGCTGATCATATTTGCTTTTTCTTCTCAGTGGCACAAGAAGGATGCTTGGATCGGTGCATGAGGTGGCACTGTTCTCTGTTTGAGGAGGTGGGGGAAGCCATTGACCAGGAGCTTCTGTGCGACCGGGCGGGCAGCGTCTTCCGTGAGTGTGGAGAGTTTATTGATAACCTCGTAGCGGAAGGAATTCACGCAATCAGCTACAACTGTGCAAACATCTGTGGTGCTATACCCGGAAGAAGCCACACCTTGATTGAAGGTTACCCCATGTACGAGCCGGAACCTGAATTCATGCGCAAGGAGCGCCCGACGAGTGCCACAGGTTAGCGAACGCCTCCGTTGTGGCTGTTTTAAATGGCAAAATGCAGACCGTTCAGACAAATGACAAACACCATATCCAGACAATCAGAATTACTACCAAAAGCTCACAGCCAAACTCAGATATAACCTTAATATATGTGATATCTCCCATTCAGGGAACGCATGTGTGGACCAGGTCAACGCCTTTCTAGATGCGTACTTGGTGGAACAGTCTAAATTCAACCCAGACTTGCCTCCTCTTCCCATTCCAGATACACAGAAGACCGGCAACTGGATTATTGACGCCACCAATGCTGCCCTAGACTACTGCCTACAAGACGTAAACTTATACTTGTTGTAGATAACGATATGCATTGAAAGCTCTGTCTGAGGGAGAATTCCAGTTGTGTTGATTTGTCATTCAAAGAAGCCATTTTGGAACCTTAACCAAATTCTAGGCAGCATGATTGTGATTTGAAGGGTCAAACGCACCCTCATCGACAGCGTTTGCCATTTCTATTGCCGTACACGCACTGGTTACTCAATTAGCTTCTGTTTTTCTGCCTGTGACGCTTGCAGCGCACACCTCCGCCACCGCCGGCCCCCCGCAAGAAGTTTTGCCCATTGGAAAAGCTGATTCCTCCTTGCTGCCGAGAGCGGCCGCCAGTTGTGGTGCCTCCTCCAAAACAACGTACGTTGCTGCAGTTCTGCTGTACTTCTCGCAGACGCATGAAGAGCAACTAAAACAGAGAGCCTAACTCAGGGGCACACCCTCCATGCCACATTAAACAACAAAACGGGAAGGACACAGTTGGAGATACTACGGTTCATATTCCCTCGTAGATGATCAATTGTCTCATTTTGCTGCAGCGATGTGCCCGCTCCTGGAACGGTGCATGGGCCGAGAACGCGACTGCCCTCACTGCCACCAACCTATCCGTCCCTCTGGTGGCACATGTCCGTCTCCTCGCTCCCCTCAGGCGTCTTTTCTGCAGGCATCTTATCAGCCGCATATTCAGCATCTTAGCAGCCGCATATGCGACAAAAGCGTAGTAGTCGTTGCTTCGTTCCTCCGCTGTAGAAACATGATCTACAACCACAGTGCCAGTTTGTTGCTTGTTTTGCCCCGTTAACAGGAATGTGAATTCTTTGCTCTGCAATTCCTACCTGCAAATGTGAATGCGATCTCTGATGTGTACGAGCATGACTTTCCGTTGTTTGTGCCCACATGGAACAGGCCCCAAAGAGCAAATTGGTGGATGCCAAATCCAGTTCTGCCCCCTTCGTGAGCCTGAAATTACCGTCGTCCCCAAAGGCCCTGCTCTAGTGTATCCCTATAGCGAAGAAGGTGAGATAACAACACTTTCCGACCCAATTCCCAATACCCGCGTCAGGCAATTCCCATACAACAACCCAAACGCCTCCAACAGGCGGCTTTTCTTAGCCCCGTTTCCTATCATGCCCTTCGGTGCATTTCTGTGCCCATTTATGTATTTTAGCGTTCTTACTTTGTTGTGACAGTTCGTGTATATCTGCATCGTATTGTCCCTTTTATGTACCTTGACTGCAGAATTCCAAGTGAGAGACCGGTCTGGGCTGGTGCCAATGCTGGACGACCACGCCGAAGGAGTGCAGTTACCCCACAAATTAGTCGTCACTGAGCCAGTGATGTAATACTGAAGGGACAGTTTAGTATGGTGACTGCCCCTGTATACTTGCGTCCTCACAACGATGTTGTGGAGCTCCCGCGTAGCTGATGGGCAACTGCTCTTTTTAGCCGCTCATTCTTCTATCCCGTAGTTCACAATCTTTGGTCAATTCGATATCGGGGTATGCTCAAATCAGGGAGCAAGGAGACCACGGGTCCGCAGCTTCGCCGTTTACTGCTCAGCTGCACATCTGATGATTGATTCGTATGTATTGCTCTATGGCCCGCTGAACTCACTCTCCTGAAAGGTTTTACTTATCAAAGCTTGATCCTCTAATCCGTAGCCAATATGCAGGTGTAGTTAAAGCATTCGGCAAGTTAGTAACATATACTTACGTGAATTGATTGCTAGGGATCCAATATTTAATGATCCCGACAAATACACCGCATATGCTCTGTATTGCTGTTATGCTGTACCAGTGAGAGGTATCAATAGGCGTTTCCCGCCTCTGGCCCTATTAGAAATAAACGAACTCGCCAACTCTTAGTCATTCAGAATTAAAACTCGCGGCCAAGGCCGCCACCAGCTTGGAGCCTCTCTAGCACATGCCTCCTCAAAGGACAGCTGCTGCAGCTGCAGCTGCAGCAGGCCGTCGAGGCCAGTATTCCAGGAGTTCCTGATAAACGGAATCCACGGATTCTTCATATGTGACTCCAATGGTGCGTCAGAACCTAGGCTGAAAAGGTGACAAGGCGCAACTGCGAACGCCAGCAGCAGGATCTGCTGCTTCCCAGTAGTAAAGACTTTGGAGGATATAGGTGACGCACAAGCATGCCGCTGTCCTTGTTGTCTGGGCAATGACGAGACCTGAGCTGTCACATGAAATCAAAGTCTACAAACTCTTCCTTCGGCGCAGTTGAAATGAACAGCCAAAACAGTAGAGAGACAACTGCCATGACCAAAGATAATACCTTCAAAGCACGACGGTGAATCCCCAAGTCATTACTCTCCGCTTTCTTGCATGTCGACGCGAAGTCAAACCCTTTCTTCCGTGTGTCCCTGCCTGTGTCTGACTCACATTGATGCAACGCCCCCACAGTCGAACGCGCATTAGCTGGGTTTCTGCTAGAAAGGGACGGGAGGTTCAGTTGCTGTTGCTGGCGCGGCCGCTGTAGCTGCTGTCGTTGCTGCTGGCTGTTAGCTATGGAGGCTACACTACTGCGTCCCAACACGCCCTGGAAGTTTTCGGCGTCTGCGCTGCCTTCTCTGCTAGCGGGGCCTGCCAAAATTTCCTCAAAAGCTTTTCTGAACTGGGTAGCACTCCACGAGTCGTATGAAGTGTTGAGCAGACGAAAAAGACAGACAATCAGCACCACGACGAACCGCAAGCAAAACTTCAAAGTACCCACCAACTTCCATAAACCCTCATAAGAAGCCCTACACCCTGGGGGCGTCGATATCATCCCAAAGGCAGAAAGGGCAACGCCGGGCTTCTTATCACTCTGAGGGGCCGAACTCACACCTCGCAGCCTCCCCATAACAAGAGTTGAAATGCCATCACTGCTCGGCTCCTGAGGCTGTGGAGGATAGGGCCAAGGTCGTAGCATCGCCTGTTGCTGTTGCGGTTGCTGTTGCGGCTGCTGCTGCCGCTGGTGATGCTGCTGGTTCTGAGGTTCCTGCTGCATGTGTTCCGCCTGCATTTTCTGTTGCTGCTGGTGTTGATCACATGCTTGGACAGGGAAGCTTGGGGCCCCCTGCATGTGTTGATGACACTTTAACGTGTTGAGAGATTCGATGGGGCCGATGGGAAGCCCTGAGAATTGCGGCTGGCTTTCGTTGCTGCCTGGCGGTGGAGCCGCAGCCGCACCAGCAGATGGCAAGCTGGCGGTATCTGCTAGGGCCTGGTCTTGAGAGGTCGCTGCGTAGCAGCCGAGAAGTCCTGTCCTCCCAAAGGAAGCTGTTAACTGTGACAACTCTCGTTGATCTGATGCATCAAGCTGTATAGACTCATCATCAGCACCTACCAAATCAGCATGTGCGTTCCCAGCGCTCGTAAGCGGGTCTCGAACGGTCCAGCTGCTGCTCAAGCTTTCCTCCACTGTCTGCTGCTGCTGCAGCAGGGACCTCGGCTGGTGCCGCGGCCTCTGCACGAAACTACTTGATCCCTTCTCAAGCTGCCAGGAGTAGGCCGAACTACCAGCCAAAGATTTTCCATGTTGGCGGAGGCCACCGCTTGCAAGGGAAGATGGTGGTTGCTGCAGCTGCAGGTTTCTAGGAACTGAAGGGGCTCGACTCCGTGGTAAAGGGGGGCCCTGCCGCACAGCACCAGCTCGTGTTGTGGCATGCAATGCGGATGAGGTAACAGGCGCAACTGCAGTCCTGCACGGGCTCTGGCTGCGCAGCCGGGAAGCAGACGGAGAAAAATAATTGGACGGCGCGGTCGTCTGTTGAGAGTGTTCAGCTCCGAAGCCGTCGTCTCCAAATCCTGCATTCTTGCTGCGGCGGCGCGAGCTGCTCGTTGAATTCATGTAGTTTCGCTGAACGCGCTCACGTGTCTGTGAGGAGAGGCTTGAGGAGGAACGGGTTATCGAGGGAGAACGGGGAGTATGCGCTCGCAGGTTTCTGACAAAGTGCTGCGTTTGCTGATCTGTGCCGCATGCACTAGGACGACGTGCGGGAGCCGCATCGTTGAAAATGGTGCTGGTGCGCTGCTTTGCGGCAATGGTTTGGGCCAGGGCCCTCGCGGGCACTGACGGCAATGGCATTTTGAAATGTACAGGTTAGGGACTTAGCAGCACCCCCGAAGCCCATAGACAGATGACTCCCAAAGGGACACCTCTGAAAACCTCACTAACCCTGGAATTTGGTATTTTGGTGGATTCACGGAGACTGAAACACGGAAGCTCGAAGACACTCCGCGGAGGCTGGAAGTAGTACGTTTAAGGCAGCGCCGGCACTTGCATTGGCAGCATATACCTGTTCCCCAGCCTTAAATCGAAGTAGGCTTGAGACCTAGAGCTAGAACGAGGGCGAGGTCTCTTCCTGTCCTAGACCACTGGGATGCAGAACAGAAGGCGGGAAATGGAGAAGGGAGTGCGGAGAGAGGCCTCGACGAGGCATCTTCCTGCATCTACGCAAAAACACAAAGTCTGTAAATTGGTGGAAAAGCTAAATTTTTAAGTAGTCGGAACTTTTGTGAGGGACCACCTGTTTTTCTTTATGGGGCTGTGAACGTGTAAAGGGTGGGGTTGTGCACGGCTTCCTGCCGTGTCTACTCTCCTAAGGAGCATCGGTGTTATGATGTTACTTAATTATTTTAAGACGATAATAGTATCAATATCTCATTACAGCGTCCACGTCCAGTGGCAATTTCGTCCCACTTTGCCCCGGCAACGTACGCAACCGCATGCGGGGTACCACAGCTGTAGTGCACAGGTACTACAATGTGTCTCAGGTGTGACCTCCAGCGGCTTTAGGATTGTAAAGGGAATAAATATTAAGTATTTTAGAGATTAGGACATTATTAGGTATTAGAATGAATTAATATTACTAGATGCTCTAGGGAATTCGAGACCATTTGATAGAGTAATAGCTTAGTAGGGTTAGTGAGCCAATTATCCAAGCCTGCCGTGTAATGCACTGCTTAGACACTACTTTGGGTTCCAGATATGACTTCTAGAGATCTGAAAATGGAAAAGAAATAAAAACTATTATGTCAGTGAATACGGCATTTTTATGTGGATAGCAGCTTTGTAGGTCTGGCACCTGGCTGTGTTGTCGCTGCTTTAATATTTCCCCGCTATTTTATAGGTCGGGCACTGATCCCCAGTGAAGACCGGGGTTCAGCTCAGATTATTCTTGTCAGTCACTTCGATTATTCTGTGGATCTTCCCTTGTTTATAATGGATACCTGAACATGTTTTGGAAATTTAATTATTAACTTCTGGGAATATGGGTAGTTAAAGGATGTAGTTAGGAAGCCAGGCACTACGAGATAAGGAGGCACAGCTTAGGACGGCTGCGCACTACAACAGCCATGCAGCAAATTGACTGCTCGCATATGAGTCATACAAATTTTCGACTTCGTCTAGGAATCGGCAAATACTAGCACGTTAATGCAAGATGGTTCCTTCGGGCGTACTCGTAGCTTTCTGACATGGGAGTGTCTAACTGTAGCATCTTCTTCCTGTTCGGGGTACGTGTATTTAGGGCTGATTACAGGCACTATTAAATGATGTCTAAGTGTTAATGCCTGTGTGTAAATGCTACTTTGGCACTCTCTCACGGGGGTTCGCCTCGCCTACCTGCGCTGCATCACACAACGTGAGGCCCCTTAAAACTCAATTGCACCCATATGTACCCCTGTGCTCATTGTGCCTGAAGACTAAATGTATGCCAGTTGATTCGTGAGATTGTGGGCTGAGAGGCTTTCGACAAACTGCAGCTCACGACGTCGAGCAGCGCATTGCGCAGCTGCAAACACCACTCCCACAACTTGGTATTCAATTGCATGAAGCACCTTGAAGAAAAGACAACCTTGATACTACCGCTAAAGTCTTTGTAAAACGTTTATCTATCTCAGCGTATGTAACTCGAGCATGTGCCCAATGGCAGCGGATGGCTTGGCGCCCCGTTGTACTAGAGCAGTGCATGATCCACGGCCTATCCAGTTGGATGTGGTCTTACCGAGCACACATGGTTGAGAATACGAGGGCAGTGAAGAAGTTCCTTACTTCTGTGGAAGTGTGCATTTGCCTTCGCAATGCCCATCAGGAGCTGCAGTTGTATTAGTGGCGTAGTTTGCATTCCAGTTGGATCCGCGACGATGGCTACTATCTAAAACCAGGTGTATCACGTTTCAGGCTACACCCAGAAAACTCAAAGCCTCCTGGAGTGCTTTGGAAAGTCAACTTATTCTCCTCTCCAAACGGAAGCAGGCTATGGCAGAAATGAGATAACTTCCACAAAGGTTGTTCTACGCTGAATGAAGAATATGCACTGCAGTTTGGCTACAAGAGGTTGGGAGTATCCGTAGGGAATATCATAGACTCAACCAGTTAACCACTGGTCCCCTCAAAAAACGCGGGGCAGTGATAAGTGTAAAAGTGGTTACAGCCTTCACCTGAATATCCTCAGGCTGTAATAGTGGTCAGGAGTTGTTCCAAACACCGGCTGCCAATAGGACTCCGTATCAGAAGCCAAGGGGAGGAAGTGCAACATTACCCACTCGAAACATTGTAGCAATCGCTACAATTTGTTTTTGCGTTCGGCAGTCGACACGATGGTGGAGAACAGTATAGAGCACAAGAGAGCTACTGGATGAGTGAAACTCCACTCGGTGTAGTGCAGACTAAATGAGATTTCAAATCATTAATGTAGCGATCGCTCTCAGGATAGGTGACTGCTTCACCGGTTCAGACATGACGGCGACAGAGCTATTTAGATCAAAACTATCAACGACATGGCCAGTGATGCACTTTCCCGACGTCCCACAGTTCAGGCAACCAATTTCGGGACTGAGCTCATCTAAGATGACTATCGGCTCCCTTCTGGGTTCCGGCTTTCGTGCTCATTAGATATCTACATCGTGCGCTGCGCCTTCCAAGCTCGGTGTGTGACGAATCTTTAAGCAGGTCACACCTGAGACACATTGTAATGCCTGTGCACCACAACTTCCCCCCTTCTCAGACTAAGTCGGTTAGCCGTATGAAATTTACCATTTGAGACCTGACAACTACCAATATATTATAGTTTACCATTACCCTCGTTCCAATTGTGTGCAGCAAGACCTAAAATACTAAACTATGGAAGAGCATAGCATACTGTTCTCCTGTATTAGAAACACTGATCACAGCGGAAAAACGGGAAACATGAAACAGCACACTGGGTGTTTTCGCACCCTCCACCCCTCCTTCACAACACGAAAAACTAACAACGCGCCAGGCAGCCCGTAGGCACAAATCGAAACTGGCACAAGGGCTGTGTGATACTCGTCAGGGCACTTGGACGGCTGCCCTGCTGGGATCTTCTGGCGCAGTCCCCTAGTGTGGCCCCTCTTTTTCGTTCCTGCATATGACAGAGCTACCGTCGGCTTACCCCACGTCTAATTCATGTGGGTCCGCAACTGATCTTACTGAAGATACCACTCCCCTCTATGAGCGGTCGAAGAAACAAGGCTGAATGCAACTTCACATGGTGCAGGACCCTTCGTGAATTCTCCCGTGGAACGTTCCCGTCCGCCTCACGTCGTCGATCTCATGACGACCCTTATGCGCATCTGCTCGCCAGTGACCTACATAACATACACGTTTCTGAAGGTTGGCGCGCCTCTACTTGTAAACGATCAACTTTCTCCTGACTAATGAAACACTTAGAGGCCTCCGTGTCCAAGAATACCAGGCTCCCAGCCACATCTACCTTCGAAAATGCGGTAGTGCCCCAACCGCACCATACTCCGCACATATCAAACAGCCTCACCAGCCTCTCGGGACCATGGCTTCTTCACACCCTCGTCAATCGGGCTAGGGGGCTCTCCTGCCCCTTCTGTGTCCCTTTCGCAGAGCTCTTGTTCTGCTGTTTGCGTCTCCTCCACTTCGTCCCCAATGAACTCTACATCAGGCTGCACGCCTGTGTTCTGTGGGGCCTCCCCAGAGTTCAGAGTCGGAAGCGTCTTCCATTACGGATCAGCTCTCACGTATCTCAGTAGAATCACAAAGGCTCGTCACGCCTTCGTCCCTAGCTCTTCAGATGTGCTGCGGCAGATTCCCATTAACCATTCCACTATAGAATGGTGGGGAGAGTGGGATCAACTTTTAAAAAAGAGGTCACTGGGATAAAAATTCAATTTCCGGGAACAGCCCCCAAATGTAGTGCGGAGCCGTCCTAAGCTATGCCTCCTTATCTCGTAGTGCCTGGCTTCCTAACTACATCCTTTAACTACCCATATTCCCAGAAGTTAATAATTAAATTTCCAAAACATGTTCGAGTATCCATTATAAACAAGGGAAGATCCACAGAATAATCGAAGTGACTGACAGGAATAATCTGAGCTGAACCCCGGTCTTCACTGGGGATCAGTGCCCGACCTATAAAATAGCGGGGAAATATTAAAGCAGCGACAACACAGCCAGCTGCTAGACCTACAAAGCTGCTATCCACATAAAAATGCCATATTCACTGACATAATAGTTTTTATTTCTTTTCCATTTATCAGATCTCTAGAAGTCATATCTGGAACCCAAAGTAGTGTCTAAGCAGTGCATTACACGGCAGGCTTGGATAACTGGCTCACTAACCCTATTAAGCTATTACTCTATCTAATGGTATCCAATTCCCTAGAACATTTAGTAGCACTAATTCCTTTTCGTAGGTAATAATGTCATAATCCCAAAAATATATAATATTTATTCCCTTTACAATCCTAAAGCCGCTGGAGGTCACACCTGAGACACATTGTAGTGCCTGTGCACTACACCGGCTACACTCAAAGTTCAGAGCTGGGGATGGCGCATGCGCTGAACTTCCCTTTCAACTGTTGCAACTTTCTAACCTCTTGCATCAGCATTACTCTGGCAACCTTTTCCGTTCTGGATTCTTCTTGTTTTGCAGTATTGTACGGTGGAACCACGACCCCCACAAGGCATACGCATACGTGTTGAGGTCTCAGGGATGCATGTGACGCAGCTGGAAGTTTCACCATGCCTAAGATCTGAAAACAAGAGCAGGCCTTGGGTAAGCTCTCAAACGTTTGAAAATTGTGGCCCAACAGCCCTTCGGCTTTTGCGCAGAAGGTCAGTCCGTGCGTCGCTGTGTTTTAGTGTGGTCGAGGCGGGCTAGCACTTCAAGCAGGGTAAACTGAGCTATATTGCTTCTTCTTTTTGTGAACTTCGCGATATCTGCGCTGCTCCATAAGGACCGTTACTCTTTTATTGGCGAGAATGGCGGTACTGCCTCTCCAGCGGGCGGTGCGTGCAGGGGTAGCCGCGTGTCTTCTGCAGCTTGCCCTTCTTGTAAGCTCGATGCCAGCTGCTTTTGCGGCTGAGGGATCGTCAGAGCCAATCCCAGCTGATACTCAAGGGGAAGAATCTCCATTGGGAGAATCACAGCCGCGACTACCCCACGGCAACACTTTTCAAGTGGTAGAAGACATAGAGGGCATGGATGGAGAAGCCAGCGCAGAGTGGTTGAGCATGCAGGCTCACCTGCCTTTGCTTAAGCTGGCACTGCCGGCCACGTACATGAGTACACTGACCGACGTCAACTTGCCAAGATATGCAGGAAAAGTAGAAGCGCAAGACTTGGGCGTCATGGATCAGTTAATAGACGGAGTCCGCTTACTAGATGTCCGGCTCTGGAGGAGTGAAAAGGAGACAGACCCGACGTCAGCCTGGTTTACAGGTTTGTGTGCGCAGAACGGAGTACCATAAACTACGTGTGCACCACAGGATGCATGCAGCCTTGCAGTAGTTGGTTTCTTTTGCGGAGCGGCGCCCTTTTAGTGTAGACTTATGCCTCCTCTTTGCAGAGGGACGCCCGGAACTATGGCCAGAGATATTTATTGCACTGTGGTTGTTTGTCTGCAGAGGTCCCATGGAGGCTCTATGAAGATGGCGAAATACTTAAAAATGTTGCTAATGGCAAATCTCCTGCATCCTTCACTCAGACAGAACTTGAGGCCCTTGAAGTTCACAGTCGGACTAATGTAGTGGAGGGTCTGTTCAAGCCAGTTTTGCAATTCTTACGCAAGTCCCCGAGTGAAGTCGTGGTCGTCGTGTTTTCAGCAGTAAATGGTAACACACACACTCAACGCAATATGGTCGCTAAGGGTTCCGAGCTCGCTGAGTCGCTTGCGCATGCGGAGGAGCAGCTAAAGGCATTCTTGCATAGTGGCCAGCCGTACAGCGACAACGCCCACGAGGCGAACTCCCCAACTACAGATGGGGCTTCTTCTGTGGTCCGAGTAGGGCCACACTCAGCTTACCATAGTCCCTGGCTCGACAGCTTTGTAAAGAAGGGTGTGTCTTTCAAGCACTTCGCGGAAATCACCGAGCTTATAGATACACACTGGGGGCCACTGTTGCCTCACCACACGGATACGTTTGTAGACGCAGATAACAAGGATCAGAGTATGACGGACAGTGTCGCGGATGTTCAGTCCTTCAGGGTGTGGCAGCGTAGCCAAGGAATTGCGCTCCTTGGGAAGCCGATATCAGAGCTTCTCGACGCAAAAGTGAGGCTAATTCTGCTCGTTGACGATCCATTGTTCGCGTGGTTCATTACAACTAGGTCACGCTCCTCGGTGCTGGCCCTGGTGAAGGCGGATCATTTGTATGATGTATCTTACATGTCCGAGTCGCATTCTGCTCCGTGCGCATCCCCACATACCGCGCGAACTGGTGAGCCACAGTTGAGGTATTTAGGCCTGGATTCGCACTGTAGAGGTGTCCGTGGAACATCCCGTGAGGAGCGGGGATTTGGAAGCACTCGTTTGGTCCCCTATGGTGTTGCCTCCCAGGAGAATCTTCGGAAAGTCGCGACAGCAGCTGGCCAGCTTGTCGTAGTTGGTGCGCGTTAGTTGGCTCCAAGGAGTGTACATCATGGTCATGGAAGCCAACTGGTACGGACCAAAGAATGTCGCCTGTGAGGAGTCGTCGAGAAGGTGACCTCAGCAGCATCTGGGACGAGAGAGTGGATGAAGAACCGGGAAGGTGCGAACTCTTCACTAGGGCACCGGTTGAGCTCTCATTTGAAGCTATCACTCAAGGAGTGGATTGCCCGAATGACGACCTTATGACGTCAGAGCTCCCATGGGACCATATGGTCGTTATGGGGGATTTACTGCTTTCCGTTTTGCCGGTTGTTAAGATATCGGCAAACTCTCGTCGCCGCAACATGCGAGGAATGGGGACTGTGAGTTTTGGATTTGATTCCCGAGTGTCTATGCTAACCACGGGGTCTCCAAGCGGCCACGAAGAGAAGTATGGCATTTCGCAGAGGCTTATCCGCGTCTTGTTTGCCCCACCAACGCCTCAAGTTCGCATAGAGGCATCGCAAAGGACTGCCTACAGCAGCAAGGGCGATACTGTGAGGCGATTCAATGCATCGCTTGCGGATTTCGTGCTAGCGCTGCTTTTGCGTTATCATATCCTGGAGAGGAACCATGTGACGAGTAGGCCGGTTAACGCCATTCAGATAGCGAAATACCGCCGTATAAGGAGTCGCTTGGAGCCATTCGCTTCCGCTAGTTTCTTCCAGCACATGACGATCCTAAACCCTTCGGCGGCCATAAACCCCCACCTATTGGCCTTTCCGGTAAGCCGCCTACTTCCTGTATGTGTGGTAGCAGTCTAAGTACGTCTCTGTTTCTTTGTGCAGATGGGAACTGGGTAATTGTTGCAGCAGTGTTTGGATGTGCTTGGACTTGCCGCAGGAGGAAAGCTACGGTGTTCCGTTCAAGGATTCCAGGGTCACAGTAACTACCCATACTTTTCCTCCACCTCATGGTGGGGCCTCCGTGACGATGTGGTTGTGCTTCATCGGGATAGTGACTGCGATATCTTTATGTGTCTTCATTTCTACGCTTTGGTGCGCATGCCATCCGGGAGGTCTCTTGAGGAAAGTGTGCCACCGCCGGGCGACGGCAGCGGGCCCATCGGTTGCTTCAGGAGGTGTGGTCAGCTTATCAAACGTTTCCTCATCATCTGGTGCCGCTGCGTGAGCCCCTATGGGGTTTGTTTCTGCGCAGTGCTCGAATTGCTCGTTGACAGTTTTTCATGTGTGCCCCGAGGAACGCATTGGTTGCGTTGACGGCATTTCATGTGTGTCCTGGGAAGCAAATTGGCTTCATTGGCTGCTCGTAAGCTTCTTCAACGGAAGGCATCTGGACGGCGCCGCGTTTGCCTGGCGGTTGTTTAGGGGTCACCAGCGGTTTTTAAGTGTCTGTCGGGGCGAATGCGTATGATGCGGGGCTCAGCATTACGTTGCGGTGCGTCGGGCGCTTGTTGTGTCTACTGCACTACCCAGGCCAGTACGCACAAAGGCACTCGAATTCGAAGCTACCGTGCGTGAATCAATCACCTTTGTGGAGACGGAGCGGTTTGGCGCCACGAAGACGTGCCTGTGACGCAAGCACGATGCTACATGCATGTGCAGCAAAATGGCACAGATTAGGGTTGCAGCATGTATACGCCATGTTGGTCAAGTAGAGGTTAATTTTGCTGGGTTTCCAAGCGAGCAGAGGCGAGCAGCGGAATTTTCCGAGTTTTTTAGCGGGGGCTTGGCATTATGAAGGCTACAACAGGTGCTCCGATTCCGATGTATAAAATGGTTGTATACCGAAAGAGACACCCTGACTTCTGTTTTGCACAGAAGGTCATGCAGTTCAGGTGTCGACTACTTACTTTGCGAAGACGCCGTTGCTGTAGTCCTGCAGGCATCAGGTGCATAGCTCTCTGTGGAGGAACAGAGTTGCCTCTGCTACTTGTGCTGCCGTCAGGCTACATTGAAATGTGAAAGCGCTTCGTTACAGAGAAGGCAGGTCTCAGCGGAGGGTGAATGCTCGTATGCGCCGTCCCTGAAGTTGTTTTCTCGTTGCTTTCAACCCATTAGCAACGGTTTGAGCTTGAAACTGTTTTACGAATGTGGAAAAGCATTATTACAGCTTTCTTAGCTAGCCTAGGCTTGACTGCAACTGTGCACAGAAGCGTCTCAGGGGATGAATGAAGGCATCCGACGTCGGCACACTAGCCACCGGCTGTCAAGATGAAAATTAGCGTAGGTTAGATTGCCTGGATGCTTGGGATATGGTTGCGCTGAATGCATACAAAGCTGTTTGCATCCAGTATTGTGGTAATGCAGCCATTGCCAGTACTTCGGGGGAATAAGGCACTCTCGCAGCAGAGCAATGTAGAGCTCGTCAGCTACGAGCGCACGTAGAGGTCTACAAGCTGTAGCTTCTATATGGCACTTTGGGGACGCGCTGTAATGAACTACACTAGGCTTGTATGGTGTATTTAATATTGGTAGGCGTTTTCAGTTAAGGGCCCACGACACACCTTTGCTGGTGGTGCCCACTGAACTCCTTCGCTTGCTGGCTCATCCAATATTCGCTGCTGATTGCACGATTAGTATTAAAACATCATGTAGATTTCAATTTGTGACTACGCCGCCATTTGCCGCAGCGTTTGACGGGTTGTGTCCCTGCGCAGTGGCTGCTAGGCGCACAGATGACGGCAATATACAGGTTGCTAGGAATAGCGAATACATCCTCTCTGTGGCCATGAAGCACTATGTTTGGCAAACACTTGTCTCGAAGGACCCAATATTAGTTACCCAATATGAGTTGCACCTACCTTAGGAGATTGGTAGACCTGATTGCACCCTCAATAAAGGTTTATTACTGCTTGCCGGGTGTCTACCGCATTTTCCTGTTTGAACCAGCTGCATGCCCACATGCACCGGCAGACGGATCAAGCTATGAATATCATGGGTTTCCTTGGTAATGGAATAAGAGCAGGCTACGCTGCCCACAAACGGCAAATGGGAAGAATTGGCGTAGAATTGGTAGAGCTCGGCATTCTGTGCAGCAGAGTAGGCGAATACAGCGTAGTCTCTACATAAAAATCAATAATAGGCTCTTTCCAATAAAATTATGTGATCGCGGCAGCTGCAATCTTGATTGAGGTTAGCATCTACGGAGTCGGCCGGGCCACCATCCGTGCGGTACTTTCCGTGCGACCGTTGCACCTACAGTCAAATGGACCACTGTCCATTAGCCTGGTTCCACCGGTAAATCACTTGTCTTGAGTTGTCGGGCAAAGTTGTTTTGGGAACTCGTGGAATATATGGAGAGAATGATGCGGGAACATGCACAACGGGGAAGGGCGATACCGTGGCGTCTGTGGGTCGCCGTTCTCTTTGCTGTAGCTCTGAACAACATGTGCGCCAACTGTTCAAGTAAGCAAACAGCAATCCTCCAGATCTCAAAGACTATACTGCATTTTTGCTCTACAGAGAGCTCCAATTTCCCCTCCATATGCACTAACTCCACAGTCACCCTCCCTAAAGATATTAGGTAATAGTGCATACTACAGGCCTTCGGCAACAACGTACTGACACGGAACCTCTGCAGACGCAAAGGAGGCGTATGCGGCCCGGTGACAAATGTCGTCAACAGCACAGAATAATACCCACTCCACCTGTAGAGTGCCGAATTCTAGTTCGTTCACCTGCACATCTGTGCTGAATCTACCCGTAAGAGCCCCTCAACTGCCTTTTCAGGTCTGCCTCCTTGGGCGTGCGGTGGGAAGGAAGGCTTCGTGAAGCAGTGTGGCAAGTGTGTAGGAGACAGTCAGTGCGAAGCAGGCTTATTTTGCTGCCCCACTTTAAGGGTTTGCATGCGCAGTCGGTCTGACAGATGCCACAAGCCATACAACGTGTGCAATAGCGCTTACAGAACGCGCAGGCCTGAATACGCAGACGAGGTTACTTGGGCAAGGGAGTGCGAGGGTCCGGGCCTCCTAGAGTGGATGACATGCCCATAACCTTTGGGCATAAATAGCACGCCATCTACCAAAAACGGTGGGTAAACGCAATAAGCTGAAGTGCCTCATGCAATATTTCAAACTTTTTGAAGCTACTGCTTCCTAGGAATTAAGACTCGCCCATGATAAGGGGACTGCTGTCGCACTGGGACATCCTGCACATTCGTATCTCAGTTAAGGGTATAAATTTACGGCGCCTTCAAGTTTAATATACTAGCTTGCAACTGCAAGACTCCATTGAACTAAAAAGTCTATCATGAAAATGCCAAGATGTATGGGAACTGAGGATTGAGTGACAGAAAGGAGGGTTTGCTTTTCCTCGTTTTTTGTGAGGTGGGATATGCAGCATCCTCTAGTACCCTCCGAAGTCAAATCGCCAGAAACTTTTCTCAAACACAGTATAAAATCCTTTACAAATGAATAAAAATGGGAACACCTGCTGCAAATATCCCTAAAGTAGCTCCGCACCAGCCAAATTTGTATTCATGGAACAGAATAGTCGTAAAACTTGAAGATAAGCCTGAAGCTTCACCACTCGCCACCATATTTTCCAGTGCCACCATAACGCGATCCTGACGTCAAATAGTCCTTGCCCGTAGAGCCCTGAGTCTGTCGCTTCTGGCTTTCCAGTTTGGGGCACTGCCCAATTCGATGACCCAAGCCCCCGCAATACGCGCATCCTCTCACACCTCCAATTTCCTGAGTGTAAGCCACGACACCGTTGCCTCCGAAGTAACTATCAGCCAAAGTTCAATACACGAAACTTGCAAACTCTGCAAAGAAATGTTAGATGCTGAGTTGTGTGAGGTTGGCACAATGAAGCCATGTAGGTTGATTTGCATACCTTAAGGTTCAACCCTCTGCTGTCCAAAGCATCGAGGAATGGAGGGATCCTCTGGCCTGCCTCGATCAAAAGCGCCTTGAGATCCAGAAGAACTGTTTCTTCAGAGTTTTTGTTTATAAAGGTTGTTGCCACACCCGTGCGCCCACATCGACCAGTGCGCCCAATCCTGTGAACGTAGTTTTCGATTTCCTTGGGCATGTCGAAGTTAATTACGTGCTGGATCGCTGGAAAGTCGAGCCCTTTTGAGGCCACGTCTGTTCCCACTAGCACGTCCTTTCGCCCCTCCCTGAAAGTGAGATTCCACCACGACAATGATTCACACAGAAGTGATTTCACTCTCGATTACACACCTTCAAGATTCCCCTCGGCCCTTAGGCGTGCGGAAGTAACACGTATGGCCAGCAACCGACGAAGTTAACGTACTTGAAAAGGCGAACAGCTTCGCTACGTTCTTCTTGGGCAAGACCTCCATGAATCGCAACGGCTTCGACACCCTTTAATAGCAGGTATTCCTGGATATCATCCACATCCTTCTTATTCTCGCAGAATACCAAAGCTGGAGGCTCTGTCTTTTGCAGACAATGCAGGAGGTACGGAAGCTTATTTTCTTGCTTAACATACTCTACTTCTTGAATAACATCCAAGTTTGCAGCGCCTAAACGCAAACAGAGCCGGTCCATTAAGCAGCAAGACGCACGCATGGCAACCCACGAACGGGGATGCCAATTGACTTACTGCTGGAAGTCATTCCAACAGGACTGTCTGGATATTCTGCCGGTGTTAATTATGCTCACCCAGAGGCATGCAAACTCATGCATGCATGTGTATGTAAGCACTCGTTCGTACCTGCTCTGCCGACGTTGACAACTATGGGGTCGACTAGCGCAGACTTCGCGAACTCCTGAATCTTTCGAGGCATGGTAGCAGAGAATAAAAGAGTCTGTCGTTGGTGGCCAAAGCAATCCAGCACATTTCTGACCTCCTCTTCAAAACCCATATCCACCATTCTGCGACGCACGTGGCAGGAGAAGCGAAGTGTACAACACTTACCCAGATTTTCTCTTAGACAGCCAGTAAGCTACACACATATGCAGGCACGTCTCACCTGTCTGCTTCATCGAATGCCAGATAGCGGCACTGGTTAAGCCCCATACGCCTCTTATTGAGCATATCCGTTAACCGTCCAGGAGTTGCAACCACACAATGCACTCCGTTACGTATATATGCAGCCTGAGAATCAGAAAATTCCAAGGGGAATACGCAGGATGGACAATCCTGGTGACACACCGGTCGGTATCAAGCCACCAGCTAAACAGCAGGGGCCCTATAGCACGCCACTCCGCAGAACCCGGCAACCCAGCAAGTGCAACGGGCCGGTTGCCGTATATTAGCCTCCCGAACTACGCAAGCGGGCATGAATTGCATGGGGGTGCTCCCCAACCACAAACTGGCACACACTTACCTGCTCTTGTGTACTAACTCCTCCAATCATACACAGACAGCGTAGCTGCGGATATCCACCTTCGTGAAGAGCAGTCGCAAAAAAGTTAACCACATCAGTGGTCTGGCTCGCTAGCTCCCGCGAAGGGCAAACCACCAGTCCCCAAGGGCCCTCTCCTGAATCAGAAGTGCACTCGTTAAGCTTGCACCAGCCTCCACCAAGAAAAAAACGTTCATGCCCACTACAAAGCATATAATGTTCTACCTGAGCTACGAGTAGCGTGCATACTAGGACAGACCGAGAGACCGTAGTCATGCAAGCACTGCATTGCCCGCTACAAGCAATAAGGATCAACCATCCACTGTGGTGCATGTCCCTACAGGATGGTCGGGCAGAAAAAGGCACCTCTGCAAGCGGTGTGAGCTTGCACTGCAGCCGCTAGCATGCATAGGCATACGGGATGCACGTGTGCTCCAAAGAAGAATTCACTCCATGTTCCAATGTATGACAGATCTGACGCATCTTACCAGGGATGTAAGGGGAGCGCATTTCTGATTCTAGAGCCCCCATAATCATAGGCAGAGTGAACACGAGGGTCTTCCCACTGCCAGTAAAGGCGATACCAATCAAATCCCGGCCTTGTAGCAGTGCAGGGATGCCCTGCAGTTTCGCAGTGACGCAGTATGGCAACTCTGATGTCCTTGGAGCGCACCAATCAATGCCGAATAGGAAGTTGGCTGTTCCGCTTTCTGCAGCTTCTCTTTCGGGACAGATAGGTCTTGTATGGTGGAATCCGCGCGTGTTTAACTTCTTTGCTACCAGTGGTCTGCTACTCCACGCTTTACCAAGCAATTGGCCACCTTACCTGCATCTGAATCTGGGTGGGTGCTGTGATATTCTTCTTTTTCAAAGCATCTAGAATCGGCTGGGGAAAGCACATGTCCTTGAAATTGCGGAAAGGCGGTGGCACATCTGTCCCATTTACGTCAACGAAGAAGCGCTCCCTGACCTCTTTCGCCTCTTCCTCTGTCATCTCACGGTATTTAGCAGGCATAGTCCATGAAGTGGCCATTCGCTTGGAATAGACAATACCCTTGGCACGCTCTCTGACGCCTTGCAAGGGCGCTCCTAGTGATTTCGACACCTGACAGGCCAAAGGAAGCAAGGATTTCCTACACAGCATGAAGCTGTGCTTCCACACCATGGACAACAATGCACCGCTGAATCAAAACGCTCATATTCCATAGAGTGATGGCAAGCCGACTGCAATGCAGGAATATATTCTCCGCACCTGTTCCAGAATGCGTTGTTCTTCCTCCTCGATTTCCTGCACAACATCCTTTTTGTTCCTTTCTGCTTCCTGCCGCAGCTTGCGGCTCGTCGCGAGCAGCGTTTTCCTAAAGTCAAGACGGGCTTTTGACATGGCTGTAGAGGATAAGACAGTGCATATATAAGGAAGCATGCAGTGCCCAAATGTTTCGCCGATACTATCAGCAGAAGGCGAGCTAGAGCCATCTATAGACTTCAGCACCGTTTCACTGCTCACCTGCCTCCTTCTGCTTGGCTTCTTTCTGTTTTGCTTCTCCATCTTGATCAGATTCCACGAAGCCGGCCTCTTCTGTCTCCAAATGTACGTTGAGAGCCTGCAGCTGTTTTTTCAGAAGCTGCTCCCGTATTGCTTTGCGCTTTTTAAGTGGGACGTACTCCTTGGCATCTGCAGCCTCCGTTTCCTCCAACAGCTTCTCCAGCAAGGAAGCCTCCTCATCCGTATGTGTTCGGGTTCTCTTGCTTACACCTGCTTTGGCGGCAAAGGTGCCAGACCCTACTGCATCGGAGACATCTGTAGCATAGGGAAGGACATCTGCGTTCCCCGCACTGACTCCGTGAGGAGAGGTCAGACCAATCGGGGCACGGGAGTCCTCTTCGAGCCCCATTGCAGGAGACACCGTGGCACGGTACAAACAAATACGTCCCTCGAGGCTTTACTGGAAGAGAAATGGGAGGTAGGCTTCGACTGTGGAACCGATGGCCAAGAGTTTCGATAGCTACGGCGTCGCCTGCATGTTGCCGTTTCGTGTCATCTCTCGCAGCAGCTGCTTCATGCACCAGCATGAAGGAACTGTAGAAACCACTTAATACCACATAATCATGTGACTGTGGAGGGGAAAACTTTCAAAAGGCAGGCAAACTGCTGCGATTTCTTCCGTCATTCGAATTGAAAATTGAGCCTTCCGCACGTTTTCCAGTGATCCCAGCAACGAATGTAGTGCACAGGCACTACAATGTGGCTCTGGCGTGATCTCTAGTGGCGCAGTGGCCATAAAGAGAATGATTATCACATTGGAAACTAAGAAAGGGAATTAATACTGCAAAATGTTCTAAGCAGCGAGTACCGTAGATGGAGCCATAGGTTAGTAGGATTACCCCCGCCAGCAGCCACTATCGGCAGTGTAGCGTACTACCTCGTCACTAGTTGGGTACCAGGTAGGCTCCTTTAGAGATCTAATTGGATAGGACATAGAATTATTACTATATAGGAGTATTATGTATATAAATACGGCTCTTGGAGACGGCAGTTATAGGTAGGGATCCTGACTGTCTCGTCGCTGTTGATATCCCCCCCCGTCATCCTTTAGGTTGGGTACTGAGCCATGACCGAGGTCAATTCAGAACACAGTTCTACTATTCCTGGGAACTTCCCTTGTTTATAATAGAGGCTCAAATATGTTTTGGTAATTTAAGTATTGACCGCGGAGTAATTGGATGTAGTTAGGAAGCCAGACGCTATGTGTACATTTACTGTAAGAGGTGAGATGTTCTAGTCCCGTCACCCTCCATAGTGGGGCTTTCGGCATCCCGCAGTGGGGATGTAGTTACCAGTCACTGCTACAAACGCAATGATTATACGCACTCAGGAGGCCTATTAGTACTCCACATTTACCCTCAATAAACAGCAGTTGAATGCTTCTATGCACCCAGACGGTGCACGTAGGCTGTTGCTTATGCTACCGCCTACTGTAGCAGCATCAACGATGTTGGCGCATTGACCCATACTCGGTCCTATTAGGTGAACGGTTCGCAAGCAAAATTTCCCAAATATTTACCATGTCTGTTCATAGAGTCGCTAAGGGTCGTTGGTTATCGTATGTAGGACTGTCGTGCACCTTGATACGCAGCAGGATGCGTTGCAACTCATGGCAGACTCCTCCTGCGCTGCAGCTCCAGGCACTTGAACTTTTGCTCTCAAAACCCCTGGAGACTGGGGAGGGCGGTTAGTAGTTCACAATGGACCTCGGATATCCAGAATCCCATTCCAAAACTGTGTGCAGTATCCTGAAAGGAACCGTAGAGGGGAGCGCTTCAGCTTTGTATAGATTTTCCACTGCAGCTTGAGGCTGTTTTTCTTGCGAGCAACAGCCTCAAGCTGCAAACTCCACCCTGGACCTTGGCAGAGGGAAATATGATGTGTTCTAAAGTGGAATTTAGTTAATTCCAGAGTCAATAGGAGGCGTATACCGCTTAGCCTACGTTGAGGAAGGAGTGTGACGAGGGTCCTCGTAGCACAGCGTATCCATGGGCTACGACAAGCCGCAGTGGGGCCATGTGCTAGGCAACAGTACTCCCTAATCACAGCTTATCTCAATATCCGGCCTCCAGGAACCCTGCACGGTGCGCGTCAAGTGCCTGGAGCTGCCGAAGGGGTGGATGTCTGGTACGATTTACGATGCACCTTGCTACAGGGTTGCAACACAGGTCAACAATCTTATTGAAGAAGAATTTCAAGCTGCCAAGAAGCCAGGTGAGTAAGGTAAGCAAAGCTTTTGTAAAAGCATATGACCTGCTTTTCCTGCATCCAAACATATTGCGAGCACCGGCACAAACGCTTGGACAAGCGCTTGGAGTAACGGACTAGGAGACAGCTTGCCAAGAATCGTGATGCACTTTGCTCTAGCCCACGCAAGAACTCAGCTCCGCATGCAAGCTCAACCAGGCATTCTTTGTTGTTGCTCTCACTAACATTGTCAGGATTGTTCGACAGGCTGCCTACTTGCGCGCAGGCTGCCTATTGAGCCCTGGTACACTATGTTGAGCCATCCTCACTTCTTCACGGAAAAACAACTTTGGTGGCCTCAAGAAAGCTCATGCAGCAAGAGTTACCGGTAAGCCTCTGCATTACGAAGTGGCTTTCCCATGGTGATCCCAAAGCCAACACTGAAATGGCAGCGCATGTTTCGGTGGTTCGTTACATGCTTATCCGTGGCAGAGACAGTAACCGGCAGAAACACGGAGCAGCGATGGACTGGTGGCTAGCGGCTATGTGATTTCTTTTATTTGAAACTCCAGATGTAGAATATAAAGGTAATACATGATTCTCACGTCAAATACCAACGTGAATGCGAATATGCAACAGGGTAATTTGACCTCCAGAGCGCCAGGGGCGCAGAGCGGCTAGCATGCATGCTTTGGCAAATTGCTTTGGCGTTGCAAGCAACTAATGGTGCCTGCCACGTGATGCGAGGAGAACGACTCCTATAAGCACAACAGCGGTTGCCAAAAGTAAGTGAAAATGCCGTATGCCCCGACCCGGGAAACTCTACAGGAAGAACATGAAGTCACTTTTAGCAAACTTGCTGTTGTTCGAAGTTTCAAGCCTAGTCCAGTGGGTTGGGCACGTTGGATGATTCTGTAGCTGGAATCGTTGGTCGAACCTTGGACAAATGTAAGCAGTTTTGAGAGGGATTATCCTAGCTGCCATCATTTCGCTTTCCTTCCTCTTTGCAGGTAGCGTGAGCACAGAGACGTAGGGGCCTGCAGACGATGCGCAGACGGCTTCTTGCAGCTCGTACAACCAAGGGTCTATGTGGGATGCAGACCTTACAGAATGCAAGTTTCAACTTGCCGTCTTGTGTGTCACGAACCCATTTCCCAGCTGCACGCAAATAGGGATAAGTGTAGCACTAAGCAAGGACGTCTAGGGGCTAAGCACGCAGATTTTAATATGTGTTGCCGCCACCGCACTCACGGATACGCGATCATATACACAAATTGCCAACACCCCCGAACAAAATCTGCTATCCATACGTGCGGGGTGAGGCTGGGGCGTATAATCTACTGGCTCTTTGGCGGGTACCACAAGACATCGCCGTCGATACTATAGTGCTTCACGCGTCGCCCATTGTTGAGCCGACAAATAATTGCCGCCGCACGAGTATAATGAAAGAGAAGGCATTTTGGAAAGAAAGTGATAATCGTCGAGCACGCCAACAGTCGGCGAATACAGTGCCTGGCTCTGCAGGCGTGAGTCAGCGACAACGGGGGTGATATTCCTGGCTTTGGCGTCGTGCTGTGTATACGCTGACGACACCAATGAACCACTGAGCAAACATATTATTTTTACCTTCCATCAGGCTCTTCGTTGTTTACCGGATACTTCTGTCCTCTATTCATGACTCTGTATGAGCAACACGCGAATCTTGGTGCTTCTTGTACTTGTTGGTCTGCTGAGAGGCCATCGCCCCAACTGCTACACCACTTTAATCCCCTTTTAGGAAGAAAGGTGTCTCAAAGTCTGGAAGTGCCTCTACAGGGGACCCCGTATGGCATGAGGCTACTGACGAGTAGTTTTCACTTTCTGCCCGAATTGGTTGTTCATCCTGTTAAGCTAAAACAGTTAGAGGGCCAGCAATGCGCGTGAACCCACGTATGGAGTTGCGGTAGCAGGGTATGAGGCCGATGACGTTCTTTATAAGGGTAGTAGCGCCCTCTGGGTGGTCTGTATCTTCGGAGGTTCTTGTTTTAGTTTTCCTTCTGCAGAGATGCTAAGCTCTAAGGATCTAGTCGGTTTCATGAAGCACACTCCTTGAAACAGTATGAGTATCAGACAACTGTCAGCTTTATGATGGAGTGCCAGCCCAAATGCTGTGCATAGGAGCGTCCTCCCTTCTTTCTTTAGTAGATGCAGGCATCGCACTCACTTCGGAACGTACGCTAACCACCTTGCAGCTTCTAACTGTTAACACAAACTCGAACATGTACAGACTTAGCGCCAAGAGGATGTTAGAGTGGGGCTGTCACCTCTCTCGGACTATCCACCGCACCGCACGAAGCTTTGATGCCGTGGCCTTTCTCTGACCACTTCGTTAGTTCGCATGGAGGCGATCCTCAATACGTTGGTTCCCCAGCATTTTACCTATGTTCAAACACCATCGAATCTCGAATTATGTGCCTTCGATTAATGTAAAAGAAGTAGGGACTTTTCTCATACGACTACCCATCTGCCTGAGTGCTGATTTCCGTGACTATTCATCCCTTTGTCGGCAGGGCTAGCAATCAAAACACCTATGCACGTAGGCTCAATATCCATATCGTTTCCACAGCAACTTTCTTCCTCCTCAATTGTGGAGTTAGGGGTTTCGTTGCTCCTCTCTTTGACGCCCAAATAGTTCATGATTTTGGTATTTTCGACTCTGTCACTTCATAGTACCTTCTGTTTGGCCAAGCCGCTTATGCATCTCCTTTCTTTGGGAGACAGCTCTCGACGTCTAATGGTCCTCAATATACGTTTTATCATCCCCTAAGTTCTCGCATATCTGCAGTAGCTTGCTTCTTTGCTCGCCTTGGAACGAACTAGCATCATCCTCATCTTGAAAGGCTTTCATATGCCGGATGCATTTCGAAAATGTGGTGCCTTTGCTGGGATGCTGGCCATTGCTTTGCCACGCCTCCTAGTAGCGTGTCTCCACTGCCCCTGCATCGCGGAAACCTTCGTACCTTCATACCGGGATGATCTGCAAAGGCATACACAGTATTCATGAATTATATTTGCTGGGAAAACATCTGCCTCTGGATAAGGCCCAGAAACTGGGCTTGTTGCAGCTCGGCAAGGCTCCCAGCAGTTGGTCACCTCCTCACCAGAGGGCAGATACTGATCAGTCGCCTTTGTAGAAAAGGGGAAAACGGCTAATTGATGGCAAAGGACTTCTGCATAGTTCTAGAAGACGCTTTTGTGTCTCCAGGTTGCACCCTGCTTTGATGGTGAGATTCGTTGGTCGCATCTGTCCCCGTGAACGATAAGCTGCATCGGTAGTCTTTGCTGCTATCCAAGGGACGTCGTGAGTTGCAGAGGAATCAAAACACTTAAAGAAGTAGTTCCGTACAAGTAGCTGGCTCCCCTTTCCAGTCTCCAGGCGTCCTGGGCACATCCTCCCAAGCCCCTGGAGCTGCAGGAGGAAAGTCGACCTGGCATGGGTTGCAGCGCACCTTGCTACAACTCACGGTGCAAACTAGCATCACGTGCCAGCACAACTCATCCGTAATTTTACAGCACGAACCAACGCTGTTCAGCACTGCTAAACGCTGGTGCAGCACTTCCAACTTCGTTTGGGCCGCCTACTTGCGTGCAGGTTGCCTGCTAGAGCCAAGTAAAGGTTCATGTGCCAACTTTGGCGACCCTCTTCTGAAACGCCCGACGAAAGTGGACAAGCAATACAACTGTAGCGACGATACGGGGCTCGCTTCTAGAGGGACGCAATGATTTAGCACACTAATCTCCCGCCTGAATACAGTTGCAATAAGGCTTTGGCACGATGCTGAATAGGCCAACCACAAATAAATTTTAAAGCATATTCTCTAAAGGCTGATGGGCTTGACTACAAGAACCAGCTTTCACCAATTTGTAGATTGCCTATCACTGTACAAGCTTACCATTCGTTAAGCACGAATTCACCTTGAGCCAAACGCTTTGTCCCACTCGATAAATTGAATCATAGCATCTTGGCTTACTGAAGGTCGTGTATTTTGGAGGGCTGAGTCGAATTCTGCTGTTCCTATTGATTGTTTACCCTGTAAAGCAGTAATACACATTTGTAGCAACAAGGCTAGCTCGGCACATGATGCAATGCACCGGGATTCATAAAAGTAGCACAATTCCTTCTAGATTCTCTACGCGTATTTCCGTGAAACAGCCTGTACAGAGGAAATGCAGGTGTTGCCTGCGCTCACAATGTTGCATTCTAGTACTTCCTGAGTAGCTTTGGGAGATAGTCCTCTCAGCAGACGACGAACAGGCTGCATGGCAGCTTCTCGGCACAGACTGCGGAGGTCAGCGCAGGAGAAACCGTCAGTGCGCCGAGCCACTTCCTCAAGATCCACGTTGGCGTCCAACTGCACGCATGTTAAGTTCCTATAAGTGCATGAATGCAAGCGGGGATGCCAGTCTAGGTGGCGTCGTTATGTATGCTGTGCCAAACATGTGTGCTATTGATTTCCCAAACCGCTCGCCTTTTGTTGCCCCAGCAAGTGTATTAGTAATTGCTTCCTAGCACAAAAATCAGGCAGCGGTATGAGGAGTCTCTTTTCGAGGCGACGCCGGAGGGCTTCATCGACGTTCCTTAAGCACATTTATTGACACCCCACGGGTTGCATTTCGACTGGAACAGCCACTTCCGGAATCGTGTTTCTATTTGACGAAACAGCTACACAGCTGCCGTGAAAGCCGCTATTCCTAAGGGAAAAGTCAAAACGTGCAGCATTCATTAGCATGTATCCCAAAGAAGTGTGTACCATGGAGCATTCGTAGCGGCAATGACGACGACATGGGGTGATCTGCGCATCTTTGGGCTGCCGAGCAACGTTGACGCTTCTGAGCTTTGAATGCAGGTGGAATTTCGTCTTTCTTGGTGGAGATTGTCTATCTGCTGTAGTAGCTCAGCCTTGAATCTTTTCGAGGCTTCGTGCTCATCTTGGCCTCCTCGCTTGCTGCAGAGTGCGTCGGCCTCGTCGAAGAACAAAACACTTGGAGCGCGTGCACGTGCCACCTGAACAGATGTTCAGCCCTTTGTGTGCCATGGCGAGTTTTGTCTCTATACTCTGCTGGGTACCGTGTACGAGACACTCATGTTGGACGCTAGTGAAAGCTCCTCACTGTGAATAGGGCGCGTAACAGCTTCTCCGATTCTCCACGCCACTTCGACGTAAGCGTTGCCGGCGAACAGCGAAATAAGCTAATTCCAGGTGTCGACGCTACAGCGTTAGCCAGCATGGTTTTGCCTGCGTAGGCATTTTTCATTTTCAAGGCACCTTGCCCGATATGGTAGCAGAATCTCACTAGCTGTGATTTAACGGTAGGACCGAAGGTTGCAACCCCTGTGCTTCCGGAACAGCCTACTGCATACCTGTCCCAGGGGGACCAAAAAGCATTAGTCCTTTAGGTGGTTCCAGGAGGCCAGTGAGAACATTGGGCATTTGTAGGGGCAACAAGACCGTTTCCCGCAAAGCGTCCTTCGCAGACGAAAGGGCTACGATATCTTCAAAACTGATATCTGCGAAAACGTGTCGCTTCTAAATCCACAGTGGCTTTTTCAACAATTCTGCCTAGACACACTCCTGAATAGGATTGTACCGATCCTCTGCAACAAATGTACGTATGCCCTAGTCTGAGTAAAATTGAGTAAGGACAAAGAGACCATCCTGATGCGGTTGCATGAGCAGAGCGTAGCATGCTAGCTAACCTGGAGTGGGCCACAGAAGCTCGTTCTCTATGAGCTGTACAAGGTCGTCAGCGTGTTCCTCAGAGACTACGACGTCGTCTTCTATCCTGAAGAAGGGCACTTGCAAAGCGATCAGCAAATGCTCAGTTCCCACATATATTAACAACGTGCCCCACGTACACGGCTCCCGAAATTGTTAACGGCCTATGGTGCACCTCGATGTCTTGCAGTGCTTTTTTGTTGCACCTCATCGGCGAAAAACGTTGCCGTTCAAAAGAGGACAGGGAAGGCTGTCCGCCCAAACCTGCACAAGCAAACTGAAATTATTTATCTCAATATTTGCTACTAAATATTCAGATGCCCTGGGAGGAAGCAGCCGGTTTTGAATTTATTGTAGGGTTTTCCATTGCAAACGATGATTTGAAAGAAAATGTTTTGCTGGGATATATTTGTGTGAGATATTACAAAGCATATCTCATTCTATGATGCTCTACTTGTGCCTTGCCTGCATCGTGTTTTGCGTCGAATTTCCAAATCCTGAAGCTTTTGACTAGAACACGTGTCATTCCGTATACACCAATCCCAACTTGATTGCTGTAGAGGTTCGTACTGAGTGGGATAAACGACTGGCTCCGGTAAAGCTTGACGCCCTGCCCCAGGCAGTTATTTGCAACCCATATGCTGCCAAGAAGCAGTGCATACGTATGCCAACTTGTATCGAACAAACTCTCCAGCGGTGGGCCTAGCTGTTTTCCTCCCGACAGGAAGCGGCTAAGTGTACATTCCAGGAAGTTCCACGACGACAGATGCAAGCAGATGCATGCGAAAAGCTCAACAATGGCTCTGGATGTTCTTGTGAATTTTGGAATACCTTATGGAGTCAGAGGCGTAGTGCACGGCAACGCGAATCCACGCGTGAGGATACAAGTGGTCTACTCCTTCTGCAACCTGCAGTTAATCACCAGTACGTCAAGTGCAACTTTCTACTGAAACAAAGGGGTTTTAGTGGGGGAACAGCAGAGAAGAATGCAACAGGCATCCAACCCCGAACTGTCGACACTTAAAATACAGTGATAGCGAACCATTAGTGATCGGGGTGCTAGCCCTGGAACGAGACTCTCTACCCTAACGCTCCTGTGGATTCAAGAGCAAACAGCAGACAGTGGAAAACAACCGCCAACGGGTTAAGTTAATCTTTCATATGCCTGCCGCTTCTCCGTGGCCAGCAACAGCGATAGCATAAAACACGAAGCTGCAATTGAAAGAATTTTTCAAACTGTAGACTGTTTTTGTACTTATACCATCGGGAGAATTCAAATTTGCTAGTGCTCATAACCAGTACAAGTAATCTAGAAAGGGAGAAAAGTCCTTAGAAGTGCAGTGAACACCTGGCGGAGGTGTTGAGTTGAAGGGAGCAAAAATCGCAGAGGCCACTAACATCACCTGCCTGAACGCGTAAGTCACACAACTCATCTATCGGAGACCGAAATTGCAAGTGAATTCATTCGACGTATGTAGTATCTTTGTGTAATTTCTAAAGGCTATTCGCACCTTAGCCATGTCAAGCAGAATACAGACTGCTTGGCCGTCAAATGCACCGCCCGGCGAAACCTGCGACGAACTCAGAAACTGTGCTCGTTGACTATGTATTCAAAGAAAGTCATGACTGGCGTCTCTAAACACTTTGTTTCTGCACCCTCAACTACTCATTTCACGAAGCTTAATCTATTGGGATAGCGTTAACGGCCATTTGGTTTTTTCTATCCTATAAAACCTTCAATCCTACTCACCCCTCCTGCTGGCACTCCCCAACTTGTATTGCAGTGTATGTACAGTTTTGTTCAGGAGCTCGAAGAAGTGCTTACCGACTTACCAAGCTATGCTGCTATTTTGAAGGCTACCCTTTCGGCAAACTCACTTTAAATACTGTTTCCACTGTGTAGACTCCGCCTTGCAGCACAACCTGTTCTTCTTTGGTGCCTTCGTAGCTGGCAATGCAGAAGCCGGCCGTACACCCATCAACCGCTAGGTAACCGTTGGGGCTTGGCACAACTCTCAGTCTTCCACGTTCCGTGAGCTTCCTCTGCAAAAGCATAGTCATGCTTCACTTGTGCAGTGCAAGAATGCCCGGCAGTACTCCCACATCAGTTTTATATCCGATGTTGCGCAGAAGTAGCACACAAAAGTCTCTTACCCATCCTACGCCGTGTCCCCACCGCTCTTGCGTCCGTAGGTTTTCCCCAGTCTTTATGTTAGGCTTCGCCAGCGTGCTACCTGGCAAAATATCCTGGGTAAGTGAATTTGTTCCCATGGCAACAAAAGATGCAGCCTTGACAGCGCATGGACAAGGCACGCCTCGGTGTGTGGTGTTTCTCCTGCTGGACTGCTCGGTATACTTCCGCCCTATACGGGTCATCCCCGCAAGGTCCTTCTCCCTCTGTTGTATTACTCTTTCCATTGCAACGGGGACCGCTGTACGAGTGTGGACTGTGAACTCCTGCTGAAAACCATTCACCAAAGTCCCAACCGAAAGGTGGAGCTGCCCCTTTCTATTCTTGCCCGTGTAACTTCAACGCGCTGTGCAGCGAATAGAATACATTTGCTGATACTCCCCCTAAACGCACTCAAAGCCATGTAGGTTAAAAGACAATGAGTATATTCTTTTGTATACAGTGTCCTGTTATCCTCCCGTATACATCCTTAAACGATGGAGGCATGTACAGTGTAGGTGAAGGGTGCAGTGCTCCCTGCTTATTCCTTCTATAGCCCATTCTCTGAATTGATTTACTTTGCATTCCAGGGAAAAGGCTAATTGAAAACTCCAATTGTTTTCTCCACGTTGAATGAAAGAAAAGGAAACCTGTATTCAAGCTCTTCTCATGTACTTTTACTCGATGACGAAGGCAAAATGGAAATCTTGGAATATACAATATTTCTATCCGCTCAAAATACCTTGAACAACTAGGCAGAGCTACTGAGTTATTCTATTCTCCAGCCTGCATTAGTGAGCGACGTATATCTTCAGCTCTTCTAAATGGAGCGGCAATTCTAGTTCCAGACAAAAAGCATCATAGCTATTTCCCCATCACACGGATTGGACATTGTCAGTCAATCCCACTGACTACAAGGAACCTTTACACACGCTTTCTTCAAGAACATCCGTAACCGGCAGAATGCAGGAGAGGATCACCAGCGGATCACGTTGATACTCCTCGCATCCCATAACTAAGATGGCACCCTGCAACTCATATATGCTTGCAACTACTTATGCAACAGTTTTAATATTTGCCAGTCCATTTTGGTTAGAGCAAAATTCAGACTAAATTTATTACCTAAACCTGGGGCTGCATGCACAGACAGCCCTATTAGTCAGGCTAGGATATTTAACACAACGGCCAAGGAGCTATGACCTCGTAGTGGGTCTACAATTGCAAAACGCTCAAGGTATCCAGAGGTATTGTGAGCCAGAAAGACGCAAAAGTTCCATGCGTAGTTCAGGGTACTGTTTGAAGCTCTTGTATTCCGCTGAAATAGCCTATTCACCATTGGCTAATGCGATAGCACCTGTCACACTTACATCGACTGTATGGAGGAATCAATCTTCTCTAATGTAACTTGCATTTGCAGTGGTAAACTTTGCTCCTCTTAAAGTTAGAGCACCTCTTTTGCCGAGCTCCAAAGCAATGACCGATTCTCCTGTTGTCAGCAAGCGTCTTCGAGACCCTCATGACGCGTTCTCGCCTACCCACCCAAAGGCTCCCCACGGAATGAAGTAAATACACCATAATCATGCTGTCTCCTCAGGGGTTCCTGCTCTGACGGATCAATACTAAGGACAAAGTTTGTTAACCGAGCACCGCACCCTCCTGGGATGCCTGCAAACTTATCGATGCACGAAACAAAATAGGGTGGCAAAAAGGTTAAACTGTACAGGAATACTCTGGTCCAACCGTCTTCTTAGCACTTGCTGTCGGGCGTTGGCCAGCAATGAGTTGATACAAGAACTGCAGGAGGATTGCATGAAGAAATAAGCCACCTTACTGTCAGTGCATGCACAGACGGGCGTGTACAGCTTGCCAGGGGAGGAGTGGGGGCAGTTGCAGTATAGTCTGTTTGATACCAGCGCGTCGGTCTGATATCCTCACATGACACAAAGTAAACCTACGGATGTTTAGGGTTGTGCCATGGTGAATTGCTCCAACGCAAAAGCTGCATTTCATGTAATAAGACCCACTTCTGAAATGCGCTCACATGCCGACCATCGTCTCCATCGTGCCATACGTGGGAACGTGTCGACCGCGCCAGTCAGGGGACTGGAAATTTGCACGATGTCGCCGTAGCGTCAGACGTCTGGACAACTTTGCAGCTAGCTCGGAGTTTCCCTAGCAGCACCTGACCATTAATACTACCTTGGATAGGTACACAGTTAAGTTGAAGAGGATCTTCGGTTGCTACTGTTACCATTTCGGCGCCATCATTGCTCTGCACGTTGCATGGGGGTGTCAGTTTATCCCTAATCTTTGCGCTTTTTCGCCTGGCGGCTCTTCTCCAAATTTCTCCAGCAACGTGGTTATTTTTATGCGTCTGCAATCTGGAGTTGTTTTGCCCTGCCATATGCAAAAGAAGCCGATGTGACCCGTAACCGGATTTCTGAATGCCGAGTTCCCCGTCTGCTGGAGCTTTTCGCTATTAGCCCCTTTCTGGGTGAGGCTGGTATTCACCGCCCGAACATCCGCCTGCTCAATAGCTGGTTCATTTCCAAACCAGTCTTTTGCGAGGACGCCCGATGTGGCTCTTTTCCTCTTTTTTATGCGTAACTACTTCATCATCTCGACAAGGTCAACCAATTTACTGCTTAGCTCCCTCTCCTCTGCCCAGCAGGTTCCCGCTTCGGTTGCTGGTTGCCTATCTCCGGGGGATAGCCATGTTATTAACCGTTGGTGCCGAACTTCTGAGTCCACTGTCGAGTTTATTTTCACCAGTGATTTAGACATCTAGATACACCGCCCTATGAATAGTGGCCCTTAAATAAGTTTCCTCACCACTGCCATTGCCCGCTTCGTTGCTGTCCTTTTCCTACTTGTCATCCCATCGCATCGAACAGAAGCGATGCCAATACTAAATGTAAACGTTTCCTGTCTCTCTGGGCCTATATTTGCACCTGCAACTTGCAACATGCGCTTGGTGGATGTGGAAATATAGTTCTAGATGACCGATAAATTCCTCCACTGCCCCCGTATCACAGCGACAGTCTTATCTTGAAGGGCAACGGAAGTGGAGCGATGCTTCATGAAGCGCGTTACCCGTAATGACATTTCCATTTTGGAAATGACCATACCCACAGCTTATCAATGCGCTTGCAGCGGACCTTTTTGACAACACATAGACTCTAGCTGTTCTACGCCATTATGATCCGGGCCAGAACGGCCACTGGTGAAGAGCCTAAAGTTTCAGTGGTGCCTGTTGAATATCTCCAGAGTCCTGCAACTGAATGAGAGCCTAAAGGGTCAGTTTAATGAAGAAATAGTCATGCAGCCTTTCCGAATACGAACAGCCGGTTATGTGTGTCAGCTGGAGCCTGTATGCTTAAATGCTACATTGCCAGTTTGCGTCGATGGTTCCACATAATATCCCCTACGTACTGTTTGACGGACGCAACTCAAGCCACAGGCTCTTAAAACAATTTGAGTTATGTGCATTTGCAAGCTTCCAGGACAAAGGGGGACAAACGTTGTCCAAGCCTTCAGCATGCACAAAAGCAGCATTAGGGAGCCCTTCGGCCTCCACGTCAGCAGAAGGCCGAGTTGCAAAAAGAAAGTGGTTGGAGCCATCCTCCCACCTG